GGACACGTCCAGGATGGACCAGTCCCTAACGTCCCCCGGTACTTCCCCGTAGTTGCTCTCATGCTCAAAACCCTCCTGCCCTGTATTCCAGTGGAGTAGAGTTCAGATTTGGTTTCCCTCTCCCCTTGCCCTGAATACACTGTCAAAGTCGTGAATAAAGTCTTCCTTGCCTGTTTCACTTTGTCAGGTGTGATTCTACGCTAACGATAGAAAGGCAACACGTAGACACGAAGGGAGGACCTCCTCGGTCAGAGGACACAGCACCGGCAACACTCTGGAAGCATCCTATTCCACTATGTATTTGAGGAGATCTACCGGTATTTGCAATGTATGTGACACTGTCGTCTGCCTACACCCCACACTGTGTGCACTTGTGTCGGCATCTCGCACCTCCACCTCAGCATCAGCCATGCCAGGATGCTCTGGGGTGCACTTCTGAGAATTCCACCCATCGTCCTCTACTCTCCTCCACCCAGCCTAGAAGAGACTTACTTAATGCCACTGGATTATAGACCTAAAAATGGCTAAAATGGCATATTTGATGTTTTGTATGTTTTACCACAATTAAAGAAACAAAAGGAATCCTCCTAAGAAGTTGCATCCCTGGAGAGCATCTATGGTGTGACCAAAGAATGGAATCCATGGTTAGATCAGTTGGGAGGCCTGACCTCCAGCTGGAAGTTACTCTCCTTTGCCCCAGTCTCCACTATCAAGAGGAGAACAGAATGGGATTCTCTGGGGCTCCTGGGTGCTCATCTGCCTTCAGCCAGGGTGTGACCCCGGGGTCCAGGGATCGAGTCCCACATTTGGCTCCCCGCGTGGAGTCTGCTTCTCCCTCTGCCTGTGTCTCTGCCTCTCATGAATAAATAAATAAAATCTTAAAAAATTTTTTTAAAAAAAGGATGTGATTCTGTCTGTAGCTCTAGACCTGTGCAGAGGCAGTAGCAAGAGCCACAGAGACATTCTTCCTGTAAGTGCAAAGAGGAGCTGTGAGAGGCGGCTAGCGGCAGCCACCCTGGGGAGCATATATCCAGAGCTTTAAATACAGAGGACGATCCCTGACCTTGAAATCTGAAATTTCAGGGCCTGCAGATATAGAGACTAAGAATATTTTGTATTTGTACATCAGAGGCCTGAGCCCCAGGCCCGTAGGCCTCCCCTTGCATTTGCACAGGCTGCTCCAGTGAGTCACTGGTGACCTCCCAGCAGCCAGCATCTACCCCACTCCTGCCTCCATCTTCCTGGGGCAGCCAGAGCCTTGGGGTGCAGGCCACAGCACTGCAGCCACCCACCCAGGGTAAGGCAGCAGGTAGAGAAGCCTTCCACTTGTGTGGTAGCCATGGGGTGGGGAAGAAATGGGTCCCCTGCACCCAGAGTGCACGGCCTAGGTAAGCAGTGCCCCTTAGGGCAGGTAATGACCCTTGCCAGGCTTCCTGAGTGGGTGTGCGGCCTACTAGAGACCAATCCAAATACTGAGCCTCTCCTGAGACCCAGGCCCAGGCCTGACAGGACAAGCTCTGTCTCCTGCTTCCCTTTCTCTCCTTCCTCTCTAGTGAGGAGGGGGGAAATTAGAAATTATGCAAAGCAAGTGTGAACTATGGAACATTTCTTTAAATCATTGAAATTTCTTGGAGTTTAGCTTTAAAAAAAAAAAAAATCACAGCTAGAGTTTTATCCCCACTTAGTGGCCAACGGTGGGCATTGCAGTGAGAATTTTAATCCCAAAGCATCAGCTCTAAATTCTAACTTTATTTTCTATCTAAATCCTGCTTAGCACAGCATATGAGGAATCTTCGATTAGCTAAGGAGACTCAATATAGAAAGCCAAATACAGGGGCCCCTTCCTAATGCTCTCTAGGTCCTTCAATCGCTGGGTTTACCAAGAGGACACGTGTAACGAAGATTTGGTTCTGAGGCTGTGATGCCAAAACAACAATCATTATAATATAGCTAATATCTGCTGAGTGCTCACCATGTTCCAGAGAAGATTGCAATGCTTTTCAGGACGACTTTTTGACCTCACAATAGCTATGTGGTAAGTTCTCCTGTACCCAATTTCTAGAAGAGAGTGGGTAATAAAGACAAGTGAATAATTTGCCCCAAGACCAACCACCTATTAACTGGCAAAGCCAAGACATAAAGCCCAACAGTCCAGCTTCAGAATCTGAAGTCTATACAGCATTAGGACTGTGGGATTATTCAAAAGCAAGATGTGCTCAGGGTGGAAAATTTGGAAACCAAACAGGCAAACATGATTTATAGCTCCCATTCTCTTTGTGATATTTGTAATACACCTTCCAGTCTTCATATCACATGCAGTTTTTAACCCCCCAGAAAGTGATTGGACTTTGCGTAATAAATATACAGTATCCTAATGTTTCAGGTTTGTCTATTATGAATAAAGTAGAAGCATAAACATTAAAAGCACAAGTAAAATCATCAATTCCAAGCTCCTACCATTAAAAATCACTTTTGTTACGTGTGTCTATTTTTATGTCCATGTGCATAGGTATCGCCTTGGGAAAAGACAGATCCCATTCAAAAATAGAATATATTGATTTACAAAGCGTTTTAGACCTAACAGGCATAATGCATAATCGTTTTAATATAGCATTAGATGTGATTTGTTAAAATTCAGCAAGAAATGTTATCTCCATATTCACGAGGGATATCATTCTGTAGTTTTCTTATATTATTCAGGTTTTGGTGTCATAGTCATGCTGGCCTCACAGATTGAGCGGAGAAGTACTCAATTTTCCTGGAAGAGTTCATGTTGAAATATTTTTTCTTCTTTAAATGTTTGGTAGGATTCACCTGTGAAGGCATCTGAGACCAGAATTTCCTTTGTGGGAAGATTTAAAACTCAAAATGCAAAGTCTTTAAAAGACGTAAGGCTCTTCAGGTGATTTGTTTCTTCTTAAATAAGCTTGGTAGTTTTTATCTTTTAAGGAATTTGAAGGTTTTCTTCTTTCTTAAGGTGAACACTTGATATCATTGACTTGAGACCTTTCTTAAACAGGTATTTAGAGGAAAAATGTTCCTTATTACTGCCTTACCTGTATCCCGTAAGTTTTCAAATGCTACATTTTTATTTTTATTTAGTTAAAATTTTTCTTAATTTCTCTTTTGACCTATGGGATATGTAAACATAGGTAATTTATATATTTGAGGTTTGTCCAGGTAACTGCTGATTTCTAATTTTATTCGACTACAGTCAGAGAACATGCTTTGTATGTCTTTTGTTAACCTCTGTCTTGATTGCGAACAGAAATTCAAGCTCATGCTTTTGGACTTGTAAGTTTTCTCTAATTTTTTGTATTATTGAAAGCAATTCTTGATGAAGACGAACTTGGAATCTTTGCACCCACTCTCATTTTCTTAGGTAAATTACAAGAAACAAAAATTTTGAGTCAGAGAGTATTTACTTCTTTTTGTAGAATTCATATGTACTACTAGGTGACTTGTTTCATGCTTTGCTCTATATTCAATAAGGTGCAAATATTTTCTTCAGAACAATAATTGTTTTCTATGGCATGTTCTTAACCACTGTGTGGTATTTCATTGATATACAAAATTATGTCTAACAATCCTCTAGTGTTGGACATCTCAGCTCTGTCTAATCTGGGACAAGTTTCCATAATGCTTTAATAAATCATGTTGTGGATCATTGGTTTGTAGAAGAGGACTGAGCTCACAAAAGCAGTGATTTAGGAAAGTTAGGAAGCAGCTTAGAGGATAGATTTGGGCTGAGAAGGTCTGGAAGTAGGAAAGTGTGTTCCATCCCAGTAGGACTGCAGTGTAATACTACACACATGGGGCTCTGGTGGTGAGAAAGGACTGGAGAGACCAGGATGGGTCGAAGAGATACTAAAAGAGGAGAATCTATCACACTTAGCGACTGATTCTGTGAGAATTAAAATCAATCCTTATCTTTAAAGCAGTGGGGTTTTTAGATAAAATTGTCTTCACATTTTGTCTTTAAAATATCCATTTTCCTAGCATTTGTTCTCACCTGTCAAGCAGTAATGTCTTCTCATCACTTGGTAATGAATTCTTCATAGATAATAGAAGGAAACTAGGGAAACTATTTTCTAGAGCAATTATACCCAAGGGAACAGGATTCATCTAAGTCCCTGTTATTCTGTAAGGAATGCTCTTGCTCTCAAAATGTTTTGCCCTTTGCATCATATCCTCACCATATAGAGAAACAACACACTTGAGAACTGTCCTATCACCTTGTACTTGTGTTGTCTTGCACAGTGTTAAAGCAAAACATGTGTGGTCACTTGACCTAGAGAGGGAGTCGCCTTCCTGGTCCAGACGCCCCTGCTGTGGTGCTCATTTGTCTGCTCACCCGTGAGGGCCCCGAGCGGGCCGGGCCTTGCTGGCTGTGTTCAGGAGCGGACAAGGGCTGGGTCTCAGCTTCACACTCACATCTTTCTTTATCCCATCACCTTTCCTTTCCACTTCTCTTTCCTACCACTCTCACCTGACAATTTTCGAATGCTCCATGAAATGTTCATTATTGTGCACATTGGGCAGTTTACCTCTTATGTTAGCAGATGACTCCATTTTTTGCTCAGATTTTTTAAAATGAAATGCTCATATCGTTTAAAGTTCTCCTGATCATTCCTCTAAAAGCCTTGGCTTTAACCAGGTCGTCAGTCACAGCTCTAGAGGCTTGATCTCATGGCTAAGCACCAAACTTCCTCACCAACCTCCTGAAAAACAAGTACATTATCAGTTTCTTTGGTGCTCACTTAAGGTCAAAAAGCAACATGATTGTCAAAATGTGCTTGAAGAAAACCCATTTCCATTCACATGTGGTGTCCTGGAGTTTTTGAGTAGGTCAGTTGTATTAATACCTCATCCACCAACTCAATCCCATAGGAGTCAAGAAGCACAAACTTTATTTTTTTTAAGTTTTTATTTAAATTCCAGTTACTTAACATTCAGTGTAATAATATTAGTTTCACACATACAGTACAGTGATTCTACACTTCCCCACATCACCCGGTGCTCATCACAGCAAGTGCTCTCCTCATCCCCACCACCTGTTTCACTCCCATCCCACCCCCACCCCACTCTGGTAACCAGCAGGGGCATTTAGGAGTCTATTTCTTGCTTTGCACCTTTTTTCACCCTTTGCTCATTTGTTTTGTTTCTTAAATTCCACATATGAGTAAAATCATATGGTGTTTGTCTTTTGGACTTATTTCACTTAGCATAATACTCTTCAGGTCCATTCGTGTCATTGCAAATGGCAAGATTTCATTCTTTTTTAAAATGGCTGAATAATAATCCAGTGTGTGTGTGTGTTCCATTATGCTCATCTTCATTCATCAGTCAATGGACACTTGGGCTGCTTCTGTATCTTGGCCATTGTAAATCATGCTGCAGTGAACACAGGGGTCCATGTATCCCTTTGAATTACTGTTTTTGTATCCTGTGGGTAAACACCCAGTAGTGTGATTTCTGTACCCTACAGTGGCTCTATTTGCAACTTCTTGAGGAGCCTCCACACCGTTCTCCAGAGTGGCTGCGCCCGTTTGCGTTCCCACCAACAGAGCAGGAGGGCTCCCCTTTCTCACATCATCTCCAACACCTGTGTTTCTTGTGTTGCTGAGTCTAGCCTTTCTGACAGGTGTGACGTGAGACCACACTGCAGTTTTGATTAAGGAGCATCAACTTTCCACATACCAATTTATGAATTATTTCCCTCCCTTCTTAAGTCCCATCTGCCACTTTGACAGTTTCAGGCTGTTTAAATCCCTTTTGTCCCGTGCATGTAACAATAATGGCAATGACTGCCCATCCAAATTCTACCAAAAGCTTTTAGATACTCTGTCCTCCACTACTGCCTCAAAGCTCCCTAGCGAAGTCTCTGAAGTGAAGACGTGGAACCTACCATGTGCTGTAAATTCTGTTCAGTACTGAGGTGGAGCCCCAAATGCTCTCAACAAGGCATAATGATTTTTCAGGCAGAATAAGTACCACATATTTTTAATCTTTTTATTGAATACTTGCTGATGTGGTTCCTGGGGACAGTTACGTTCTCCAAGCAGCGTCGGCTTGGAGCAGGAGGCAGCTAATGGGAGCCAGTTGTTCAATGTTCAGGAGTTTTGCCTACAAGTGTTTCAACCCTTTGAGGCTCACACACGCCACGGTAGCACAGATGCTGGCAAATGCCACAAACGGGGCCCTTCCTTCCCCACAGAGAGGAGGTTTGCTGGCTTACTCCCGGCCCTAAGCCTTAGTCTGTTCATCCATAAAATGAGAAAAATAAAATTTCAATCAGTATTGAACACGTTCAGCTGCAGTAAACACGATCTCTCTGCTCTTTTACATACAAAAGGAATTTGCTCCTGAACACAGATTCGGGCCTCACACTGGAAAATGGGGCCACCACGGGCCCCGCTGCCTCTTCTAGATTCAGGACGTACCTGCCGTTTGGGAGGCTGCGGCTGTAAAAGCCCTTGGCCTCCGCCAGGCTCGCCAAGGCCGCCTCCCCCGGGGAGCTACCGCAGGCAGCGCTGTGCCCGGCCTCCTCAGCCTCCTCCATGGCTTCCTCCACGGCCTCCCGCCGTCCGATAGCTCAACACAGACCTGACTGGCGAGAACTGCCTCACAGCTGAGCCACAGCTGCGCGGGAGGCTTGGACATAGCCTTTATTCGGAGGCTCTTGAGCGCCAGTAAAAAATCACAGGTTCCACCACCAAAGATTAAGAGAAAGGGGGAGAGCAGCACTGGAGGACGGCTAGCATCTGCTGGGGACTGTTTTTATCTATGAGACCCGCAAACGCCCTTTTCCCCAGAGTAATTCGTGGCTTACCTACGAGGGAAGACCTCCAAGTCCCATTGGAGACTGCACCTGTTCAAGGCCAGGGCCTCTGAGCGATTCCAAGTCCTCCCCAGCGAGTCCAGATGTGCACAAGTGACCCAGGAAGTGCCAGGTGAGTTACCCCCGTGTGTCCAACGACAGCCACACACAGGCACAGAGGTGTGCACCACCCAGAGGCAGAGTAGGAACAGGACGGCTATAACAGAAAGTGCAGAAAAATATAGTGCCCGGTGGGAGTCTCCAGGCCCGCGGCCCTGGCTAGAGACTTAGCTGCAATTTTCCAGGTTGGCCTCTGGCTCCTCTCGTGTATCCATGACCCCTGGCTTTGTTCTCTTGGAGGCTCCTCCTTACCCGGGAGACTCCGTGACCGCATCTGAACTGGCCATTGGAGAGGCTTCCTTTCTGGAGGCTGTAAAACTTACACATCCTGCTTTTTTCTGTGGCAGGAGGCTAGGTAGCAGGTATGGCTACTTAGGTTTGCTTTGTGCTGACAGCCAAGCTCTGGCAAGCCAGGGTGACCGTTTCTGCGGCAAAGAGCTTCCTCCTCAACTCGATAAGCTTCCAGTGTGAGAATATCTCCAATAGCTATAGGGACATCTAGAACTCATCAAGAACCCAAAGAACTCATCTAGGCAGTATATACAAATATACAAGATATTAATTATATATTATCTAAATTATATTAAATTTAAATAGATATTAAAATCTGAATACCTAGTTTTAATTATGAGCTGCTATGATGTGCACAGTCTCTTTTTGACTTAATGGTGGTGTTTACGGTTGAATTATGTCCCTCCCAAAAAAGACATGCTTGATTCTTGACCCCCTAGTACGTCAGAATGTGACCTTATTTGGAGACAATCAATTTGGAGACAAGTTAAAACGACATCATTAGGGTGTGAGCCCTGGTTCAGGATGACTGGTCTGGTAAAAAGGGGACATTTGAACACAGACGTGGATACATGGAGAAGGTCACTTGAAGAGGAAGGTAGAGATCTCGGTGATGCATCCGCAAGCCAGGGAATGCCAGAGGTTGCCAGTAAAGCACCAGAAGCTAGGGGAGAGCCATGGAACAGATTTTTCCTTACTGCTCTCAGAAGAAACCAACCCGGCTGATGCCTTGAACTTCTAGCCTCTAAAATGTAAAACAACAAATTCTGATCAAGCCACTCCGTTTGCACTACTTTGTGAGAGCAGCCCTAGCAAATTAGTGCAGGTGGCCACCACCACGTGCTGAAACGAGGCTCCTGCGGGGGAGGGCAACACCCCAGCCTCATCTCCGCTGCTGGGCCGGTTCTCACGTCCAGCTCCCAATGCTTTTTTGGGAGGTGCTTGTAAATAGTTGGGGCGACAGTGCTCGCTCCTTCAGAGCAAACTTTTTTTTTTAAAGATTTTTTTTTATTTATTCATAGACACACAGAGAGAGGCAGAGACACAGGGAGAGGGAGAAGCAGGCTCCATGCAGGGAGCCCGATTGGGACTCGATCCCAGGTCTCCAGGATCACACCCCAGGCTGCAGGCGGCACCAAACCACTGCGCCACCAGGGCTGCCCAGAGCAAACTCTTATAACTCTTAAGTGAGAAAGTACAGACACAACTGGCTTTTTCAACACTGCAAGGCACCAAATTATTAGGGTCACAAATATTTTGGCTTCCCTGCCGCAGGTGAGACACTCTGCTGGAGCTTTAGATTGCTGTCCTTTCCTTAACAGACACGTTCTTTTCATTTATTTTTGCAGATGTACATGTAGTTCATCTTTCTCTGGTAAAACTTCGCTGAAAGTAGCAGAAGCAACCAGCCTACAGCATTATGAAGTTGTCCACCCTTGAACCTGCCACTAGAGGCTCCCGCAGTATGCAATCTGCCCCGCAGGGCCCTGTAGGCGACCATCAAATACTCGGACGCCCAATGACAAGGGTTTCCAGCCTCCCACACTGTTAGACCTGCCCTTGTCACCAGCTGCTTGGACTGCTAAATCAAGGAAGTGTCCATTAACATCTTTTAGGGCAGCAGCCCACGTCTAAATTCCAAACTTTGTATGGTCAGAGCTCACTTGCTGGAAACAGAATTCACTTTAGCTAGTTAAATCAGAACGGAATTTAGCACAGGTTTGGTTATGGCTTCGAGGACCAGTGGGAGGACTGAAGAAACAGTCAATGACTCCTTTGAGAACAGCCCAACAGACTGAGGCCGCCCATGCAGATGGTCCTATAGCCACTGGAAAGCCACCGAAATCATAAGGCAGTTTTGTACTGGGGCAGGGGACTGGGAAACAGAAACCCGCGGTAGCATCGCAGAGGCAGTGCAAGCACGACTTCCACCTAACAAATCTCTGCCAACTAAATGGATGGGCAGGTTCCAAGTAGTTCAGAGCTGTGGCTCTCGGAGTGGCTCAGAAATGACTCTTGTTCTGGGCTGTGATACACCCGGCTAAAAATCAAGGGCTCTATTCCTGCGCAAGAAAAGGGGGAAGGAGACAAAGCACAGGTGGTCAGACCATGCATATAAATATTTTAAAGTTCCTTCTGACATAGACGGGGCTCTTCATAGTCGACAAGTATGTGAAAACAAGCTCCCTCTTAGAGAAAATGGGCAGGCAAGAAATATCAGATCAGGTTTGTAAAAGGCAAACTCTGGCACAATTATTTTGTACTTCTATTGGTTCAAGCGCAATATAGTGTTCTCTGAATACCTTCACCCGTAACCTTCTGGTTAACACAATTCATTCTCTGCGGAAGTAATTGACCTTGTCACTGGGAATCCAGTTCTGGACCAATCCACATCTCTTACACTTTGTTCTTTTTCAGGTGGTCTGACCTCCCCATGTCTTCGGACACCCATGATCCAAGGAAATAAGTGCTCTCGGACGTGTTTCGAGCTTCATTGCTATCTTTTTACAAAATTGAGTTTTAAATCTAGATTTGTGAAATATGTTTTAGGGCAGAGGTCAGTAAATTTTTTCTCTGAAAGGTCAGATAGTATAGTCAGCTTTGGGGCCACATCGTGTCTGTTGAGGTTTCTCAATCTGGACACTGTAGTGTGAAGGGAGCCACAGACAGCACACTGATGATGAGAGTGCATCGGTTCTGACAAAACTATATTTACAAAAAAAGACGGGGGACCTAATTTGGCACACGGACCATCATTTGCCAACCCTTGTGTTAGAGAATTGCATGAAATAAATGAAAACAAATTCAGGGGCGCCCAGCTGGCTTGTCGGCAGAACACACAACTCTTGATCTTGGGGTTGTGAGTTCAAACCCCATGTTGAAGGTAGAGTTTACATAAATGATAAATAAAATTATTTTTTAAATTAAATTAAAAAAATTATTAAGAGAGAGAGAGAGAGTTCATCAGAAGTACCTTGTTGATCACTTCAGCTGTGGAGCTAGCTGGCAATCCTCTCCTCCCCGTGGGTGGGGAGTCCTTTCCTTCACGCACTACACACACTCAGCCCAACTGCTGGTGTTTGCAACAGCGCTTCCCTCTGCGTGGTTTCACTGTCCAGTTGTGTGTCAGTGTTCTCCTGAACCGACACACACTATTTAACTTCAGTAACCATCCTCATAATGACGCAGCCTGCTGTGACCATACGTACTTGGTCACACCCGAAGCACGGGTTCCTGTGACCTACCTACCACGGCCTCCCACACCTGGATGGAGATTCTACTGCTGACCTGCCCTTTGTAGCTTTTGTACTAAGGGGGAGTGGCACTCAGCACAGTGACAAGGAGCACAGCAAGCACATCTGACCTGTGTCACTCATCAGCTGTGTGACCTCAGGACGATTACTTCACCTTTCTACGCTACAGTTTCCTAACACGCAAGATGGGGGTCACGGTAAGAGGCTCTCAGAGCAGTGCCTGGGCTGTAACAAGCCTTCCAGAGACGCTCCCTGCAACAGAGAAGTTGGTATCAGCTACTCACACACTTTATGATCATCACAATGTTGGGGGGGGTTGTTTGTTTCAAGGTTTTATTTAAATTCTAAATAGTTAACATATGGGGTAAAACTGCTTTCGGATGTAGTATTTAGTGAGTCATCACTTGCTACCCCCAGTGCTCATCACAACATTGTTAACTGGTCTTCATTTTCATCTGAATATTTTGATAGTTCAGGTAAAATGTTGATATATTCAGGGAAAATTCCAAGTTTTGCTTGCTTATTTTTCTTTTAACTATGATCTCCTAACATGCATATTTTACCTACATTGGACTAGTGAGTTTTACCATTCAGTTGCCCTAAACTTACTCAAAAGTGTATGTATTTTGACGCTACCTGGTGGGCTCAGTCAGAAGAGTATATGACTCTTGATATCAGGGTCCTGAGTTCAAGCCCCACATTGAGCCTAGAGCTTAATAAAAAATTTTTTTTTTTTTTAAGTGCATGGGGTGTTTGTTGTTTTGGTTTTTGTTTTAGAGCGGGGGTGGAAGGGCAAAGGGGAGAGAGAATCCTAAGCAGGTTCCGCGCCCATCCCAGAGCCTAACAGGGGGCTCAATTTCACAATCCTGAGATCCTAACCTGAGCTGAAATCGTGGGTCAGATGCCTAACCAGCTGAGCTACCCAAGCGCCCTAGTGCACGTATTTTTGAAAACAAACGAGAGCATAAAGCTTGAACGAATAGAGCAGAAGCACAAAACAGTGGAGCCCAAAATCTAAGCAACAAAAATAAATAGCATGGATACTTCAGTATTTGGCCCACTGATTCTGACCAGCTGGCTATCCCTCGGGCCTGCTATCTTCACCCACAAACCTTGATTCTTTTTCTTTTCTGGAGTTCTAATTCTTGAACTCCAGCGAGACTGTTCTTAGATTAGCTAAGTGACGTAATCCAGGCGGGGCTCACTCAGGTCACACTCCTAACTAGTCCCTCAAAGACAGATTTAGTGGTTTCAGGAGAGGGCATGACGTCTGTATTTCAAGATGCCTCCCATGTTGCAAGTGCAGGAGAGTCTCAGGGACCTCTGCTCTGAGCCTGCACTCGTACTTTCACCCAGGATTTCCTCCCAGCCCCCGCTTCCCACGCAGGGCCACAGGCCGTGCCAGCCTCACAGCCACTGGCTCAAACACCTATAACTACCCTGCCAGGGAGATATTCTCAATCCCATATTATAGGTGAGGAAACCAAGGCTGGGTTACGTTTGGTAATTTGTCCAAAGTCTTCTGCCTCTTTCCTTGACAAGAGCGTGCAGTTGGCACCATGGTTGATGTGAATTCATTTGTTCCAGCGTGTAAAAGTCTCCATGAGGGGATGGGCCAAGCCTTGCCCTTTGATGAGAGTCAGGGATTGATTACAAGAAACAGAAACCCACTCAAAAGACGTAAAGGCGGCTTAGGGAAAGGATGTAGGAGAATTTCATGGAAACTGAAGGTAGAAAATACAGCTTGGCCTGAAGGAAATTGGATTAAGCACAGGCTTGGGTGTTTGAGATACTTGTGATATCAGAGGAAATAGATTTGCCAGATGTTTATTTTCCCGACCTACATATAAATGGCTTACAGCATACGTTTCTCCAGCGAAGGGCAGGAGCTGCTGTTTATCTCCCCAGAGCTGCAACATTGCACGTCCCTCCTTCCTGAACAGCTGCCACTAGGGTGTCTCCTCCCTGTTTTCACCAGGCTCAGGGCCATGGCTGGATAAAACAAAGGAAGAAAGTGTTGCAGGGGAAAAGGTGCCCTCAAGTCTCTAAAGGCTCTTTCATTCCATTTTTTTAAAAGCTTTTAAATTCCAGCTAGTTAATATATAAGTGTAATATTAGTTTCAGTAAGGCTCTTTCATTCTAAATGAAAGAAGTCAACTCAAACTGACTTAAAAAAGAAAAACAAATTTACTCGATTATATAAATAAAAGGTTCAGGATTAAATCCAGCTCTGGAATTGGCTGAGGGTCACTTTATAAACTGCCCCAGTTTCAACAGTTTTCCTGCAGCAGGCATTTAATAAATATTTGTTGAATTAAGGCTATGAATTTTCCAGAGTCAAGTTTTCTAAGCATAGAATTTGTCATATTTCCTGGCTTTGATGTATCAGGGTTTTATTTTTATTAACATTTATTAATATTTTAAGTATTATTAATATTCTACAGTATGTAATATTTAATTTTAATTGAATTTGGAAGGCAGAATTTCTTTTAATTTTCAAGTAGTTAGGGATATTTGTACATGTGTGTTTTTGTGTCTTTTGTTTTACTTCTAGATTTACTGCCTCTTGGTAAGAAATTGTGAATGTATTTCGGTGTTTTCGCACTTTTTTTTCTTTTTGGAAATTCTTTCTTTAGATACATTAGATACCCAGGTGGCTCAGTGGTTGAGCTGAGTGTCTGCTTTGGGCTCAGGGCATGACCCCGGGGTCCCAGGATCGAGTCCTGCATTGGGCTCCCCACAGGGCATCTCCTTCTCCCTCCGCCTGTGTCTCTGCCTGTTTCTTATGAATAAAACATATATAAATATATATTCAGTCTGATTTCAATCAAGACTTGGCAGGGAAGCTGTTTTGTTACGTTAGGGCGACCTTCCATAAAGCTGGTCAAATACATTATGTCTCTTTTATACTTGAACTCTAGATAGGTTATTTCCCCATTTTCAAACTACTTGGAGGAGGGACTTGTCTGTGGCCTTATATATGGCTGTGCTCTCGTGAGTACAGTAATAAATGTACAAACCCTACAGGGCCGTTATCAGGATTAAACGAGTTACTATGTGTAAAATGCTTACCTGGTCCACAGTAAGCCATCCATAATAGCCACAGATGATTATGTTCTTTTTCCTGAGCCTGTAGTTCTGCTTTCGGTGCTATATAGGATGGCTTTTAATGACCTCTGGCCCCTTTCTAACCAAGAAAATCACAACAACAAAAGCCAGGTTAATTTTGTTTTAAACATGTTCTACTAGGTTTTTTTTGTTTGTTTTTTTTTTGTTCTACTAGGTTCTGTGAGAGGAGTGCAGAGCTGCTGAGCAACACGTTCCCAGCTGAATCCTAACAGCAAGAGACTCTCATTTTCTATTTGTTGAGAACTTGCTCCTCTGTCCACGACACTGCGTACACCTTGCTGGCAGGGATCAGGTCTCTCCATCTTTTCTTTCTGGTCCTCATTGCCACGCACACGTGCCCACTGGAAAGTCGTGAAACACATGCCAAGGTTTGCGGGGGGGGGGGGGGGGGGGGGTGGGGGGGTGGGGGGGGTGGGGGGGTGGGGGGGGTGGGGTGGGGGGTGGGGTGGGGTGAAGAGTTCTGGTGTTGGAGCCCAGCAGACCTGCTCAGCTACTCAGAAATTAAGTAAATCTGCCTTAGGAGCTGTGCCCAGGCCTCACCTGCTTGCTATGATTGACCAATTATCGTGGCCTTATTTGCAAACATATCTGTGCGATGACCTCGGATGGTGTGGAAAAATGCTTTGTAGAAGGTCTCACACTACGTGCGGCGCTCAGTCTACTTAAGAGCCTCCCTCCAAGGTGGCTGAGTCTTACAGATGACTACATGTGAAATAATGGAAAAGTAACCACCAGCCAAATTATTGCTTTTATGGATGATGTGAGCTTTGACAGTAAGATTTTGAAATCTGCCAATAATAACTAGCAAGTGGTGTTTGGTGATTCTTTTAGTGACAATCTAACGATTTATGCGTAGTTACTTGTCATTGCACGTAGCAGCGGGGCTCACCGCGTGGCACTACATGCTCTGGCGCTTAGGTCGCAAACCGCACATCCTAGAAAACAGAACTCCGGAACTCCACATGGGTAGCACTCAAAAGCCAGGACCCGTCGGGCGGAGCAGCCGACAGCCACCTGCCGCCACCCCTCTGCCACCGCCGCCCCTACCTGCCGCCGCCCCCCCTCGCCCCCACGTGCCGCTCCCACCCCTGCTGCTCCCCCCACCTGCCGCTGCCCTCTCTACCTGCCGCCGCCCCCCGCCCCTACCTGCTACCGACCCCCCTCGCCCCCACGTGCCGCTCCCCCCACGTGCCGCCGCCCCCCTACCTGCCACCGCCCCCCACCCCACCTCCGCTCCCCCACGTGCCGGTCCCACCCCTGCTGCTCCCCCCACCTGTCCCTGCCCTCTCTATCTGCCGCCCCCCCTCGCCCCCACCTGCCGCTCCCCTCCACCTGCCGCCGCTCCACCCCCGCCCCCACCTGCCGCTCCCCCCCCACCTGCCGGCTCCCCTCTCCATCTGCCACAGCCCCCCACCGGTCCCACCTGCCGCTCCCCCAACCTGCCGGCCCCTCCACCTGCTGCTTCCCCCCCCCCACACCTGCCGCCCCTCCGCTTCCCCCCACACCTGCCGCCCCACCCCCTCCCCCCCGCCCGCCCCGCGGGCTCAGTTTCCTCGGGGGCTTCTCGCTTCCCTACTGGGAGGGCTACCGTCCGGCCGAAGGCGGATTCGCAGCGCGGCCGCGGGTGTTCGTGTGCCTCGTGACGCGGCGGCGGGGGAACCGGCGGGAGGCGGGGGCACCGGCGGGAGGCGGGGGCACCGTCGTCCCGGCCCGGCGCCTCCTCTTTACCGCACCGTGGGTCCTGGAGCCCGGCCCCGCCGCCTCCGCAGTCAGGCCGGCGTCGCCCGTCACCGCCGACCTTCCCTCCCTGCTGCCTCCTCGAGGGCAGCCAGGGGCCGCCGAGCCTCAGCGCCTCAGCCCCTCAGCCCGCACGCCGCAGCCCCGCTGCCTCCCGCCGGCCCACACGCACCAGAAATCATTCCATCCCCAGCGGCCAATCAGCGCCCCGCACGCCCCGCGCCAGCCAATCCAAGCCAACACACGTTGTCCGGCCAACTTCTGCCGCAGGCCCTTCGGGTGCGCTCGGCGGAGGAACTAGGCCCTCCTCCCCTCGAGAGCCGCCTGCCTTCCCATTGGCTGCGAGCGGCGGCGTCCCGTCGTTCACTGGCTGCCGCCGCCCGGCCCCGCCCCCTCCCGGCCCCAGTGGGCGGGGCGTCCGGGGAGCCCACAGCCTCAGGGTCGCCGACTGCCGGGGGGCCGCCGCGTTCCCGCCCCGCCGCGTTTCAGGTATCGCGGGGGCCGGCGCCGGGCGGGCTGGACGCGGGGCGCCGCGGCCGCAGGGGCGATCGGGGCGGGGGGCTCCGGCGTGGAGGTCGGGGCCGGAGCCCGCAGCGTGAGAGGAAGGAGGTCCCCGGAAGGACCCCGGGGCCGGCGTGTCGCCAGTCCTCCCGCTTGGCGGCCTCCCGGGCGTCAGTCTTTGCATCCGGGAAATGGGCGGCTAGACCATCCAGGGCGCTGGGCAGCCGGGCCAGTTCTCGCACGTCGGGCCGCCCCTCGTCGGCTTAGGGAGCGTCCCGAGCCCGCCTGTGGTCAGGAGCCCGGGCGGAAGGACAGGTTCAGTGTGAGGTCACATATTTTATGTAATGTCTCTTGCAGCTTGTGGGCGACTTCGGCGCTTGACAGAAAATAGACTTGTAGACCCTGAGGCGGAGGCCCGGCTGGGGGCCCAGCTGGCTCCACCTCGTACCCGCAGCGAGACCCGAGACAAGTGACTGGATTTCTCTGCTGGCTCTTTCTCCGCAAAATAAGGATAATAGGATCAGCTTTGAAGGTCGTTTGTGGGGTTAGAGGGAAGAACACAACCCAGAAAGACTGATCACATAGTAAGTGATCAATAAGTGTTCTTGTTAGACATGTAGGAGCTCAGACATCAGCTTGGACTCAAACTGAGAGCCCAGATAGCGTCAGAATTTAACGTTGCCCTAACTGTTGTAAAAAGTCTCTGCAGTTGTAACGCTTACACTAGAACGAGCTGAAGTGAGTCCTGAAACAGAGGGAAGTGCTGTGGTCACGTTGCCGAAGCGAGCTTCCTTGTTGAGTCCCTGCTACAGCCAGTCTCAAACAAAAAAAAAAAGAGAGAAACTACTGTATTTGACTGGGTTGGAAAAGCCAAATTACAAACTCAAAGATGGGTTGGAAATCCGGCATTTGCTGAATTTTTATGTCAGGTACAAAATACAATTTGTTTTAAAGAGCCTGGGTTTGCATGACATCTTGGGGAAAATCTATGGCACGTTAAATTTAAGCTGTTCACGTAAGGCCTTTATCCATTGGGAAATGGAAGTTTAAACAACTCCGGTAACAGCTTCTTTAATGAGCGAATCCTGACCTCATACTACGGAGGTACAGACACTGTGAGGACACTCACTTTTTATTAGGGATTAAAGTGTTCATTATGTTTCGTATATAAAAGAGAACCTCTGGCGGGCTCCCTGTGAAGTAAGTGTGATGAAAATTGGAGTTGTAGTGGCCAGAGTGTGGTGCCCATAGATGGCCCCAGGGTCATTTCTGACTTTGGCAGGCTGCCCGCTCCGCAGTGGCAGCCACTGTCTATACTGGCGATCACTGCAAAGACGTGGGCATAGAAAACGTGAATAAGAGGTTAAAGTAGGGAAAAAATGGAGGTGGACGTTACCGAGTAGCGAGTAACAGAACCGTCAGAAGCAGCTGCTAGATTCTGATACAGTGAAACGGTACCTGTTCTCTGAAATGTAAGCGATTGAGTTGAGAGGTTCCCCATGTGGGTCAAGAAAGGGAATGAAAGGATCAGCAAGGCGGAGTTCAGAGTAGTATTTAAAACGTCTGCCTCACATTGTTCAGAGGTGGAGGTTGCAGTGGCACATGTTGTTTGCTCTCCTTTCGATCAGTGTTGATCAGTGTGAGCACTCTCTGTTTTATTAGGAGAGCCCAAGACCTCAATGATAACCCCAATCAGTACTGCCCACTCCCCAAGTCTGAGCTATATTTCAAGAGATATATTGTGCTTGCCCACACACAGATGGTTCAGACAATAACCATTATTCTCTTTTGGACTTAATCTTGATGAAAAATATCCATGCAAGAATGAACTGCCTGATGCCATACTTCATTGGGCTAATAAAAAAGTCTTCTGAGTTTATACTTACTTTGTTCTTCTTTCCTGCCTACAACTCCACTACCGTTAGAAGAGGCTTATTAGTGATTTTTAATGTTTTAGCTTTTGTTGTTATTGCAATTCAGAGTTAAAATATTTAAAGGGTGGAATAAGTCAACTTTGAGAGCAAACACTGGATTACATCCATTTCTGTAGTTCTAGGATCTGGTAGGTACTAACGCTTGGTGAATAAATTAGTAGACTTCCTTGAGAAATTGCTGTAGTTAGTTATGGCAATGAAGTTGTCACTCGGAGGCTCCAGGATGATTGGTAAAAGTGGGCCCGTCTTCGCTTTTTTTTTTTTTAAGATTTTATTTATTCATGAGAGAAACACAGAGAGAGAGGCAGAGACACAGGCAGAGGGAGAAGCAGGCTCCATGCAGGGAGCTCGACGTGGGACTCGATCCCAGGTCTCCAGGATCACGCCCTGGGCGGAAGGCTGCGCTAAACCACTGAGCCACCCGGGCTGCCCTGTCTTCCCCATGTTGAGGTCTTCCATAAGTGACACTAGTAGCCCACTGTCTACCTTTTTTTCCCACTTTTATTTACTGGGTTCCTACTGTATGCTAGACATAGGACGATAACATTGAACAAGGCACATTTCCTGCCCCCCTAAAGGCTTATAGTTGAATTGGAAAAGCTAACAAGTTAATAATCACAGAGTTGCTGTGAGAAACATTGGTGGTGTTGAGGGAAGCGAACCTAGTCTTTAGAGGAGTCCGAGAAAGAAGAAATTAGGCACTAAAGCTCAGCCAGATGCTAAGAGGGCCCAGAAGCCATATTTAGGAGTATGGACTCTATATGATCAGTAAGAATGAACAATTACTCACGTAGTAATTAAACATGCAGATTCTCATCTTTATAGGTAGTTTTTATTGCTTACATTTGTATAATGGATTTGTACAAAGATGATGTCTGTGATAATAGCATATCTACATTTCATCTTTGATTTCTATCGGGGTTTTGAAAAAAAATATCTTCCCTGGCAACCACAGGAACCTGGCCAGCAACCTTTGCAGTTCAAGAATAGTGTTTAGTCGTAATGATTCCAGTAATAGATAAATTTGTTTTTAAAGTCTTCTCTAAGAATTTGTGCTTGTTTGTAACGTATCCTTGATTAAGCTCATTGTATTGTATATATTGTAATATATCAAGTTGGCAGGCTCAGGAGGGGAAATGGAATACTTTCCTGATTGGCACACTTTTTGAATGAGCTCATCCACTTTTATTCTGTGGGTGGAATCTGTATTTATTATATATTTTACATCACTTACATAGATCCTAAATTCTGTGTTATTGAATTTTCTATGTATGCTTTCTCACATTTCCCATATTTTTGGGATATACCACCCCCAAAAATGCCACTGTGGAATAAGGATTATTTTGAGCTGAGGGCAATTCAGCAGCAAATGCAGAAAGAGTTGTTTTCTCTCCCTCTACTGCCTAAAAGTAGGACATAAATTTCCCTTTGTCTTCCCTCTCCCCTCTCCTATGGCAGGAGAACAACTCATCACTGAAGATAGGGTTGACACCAAGGTTGTCTAAAAACAAACTCTACTATAATAACCTTTCTTTTCTATTAGTTTTCCCTCATATATTTACTTTCTCATGATTTACTACCCCTAAAAACCCAAATCCCTTTTCCTTTGTCTTGTCACTTTTCCACAGTTTATCACCCTTTGTTAGAACAGTATATAAGCCCTAGATCTAACTGCTTTTTTGGGTCTCCATTCTTTCTTTTTTTGTGTAGGCTTCTATGCACATAAAAATTAAATTATTAACAGCAAATAAAATTTGTGTGCCTTTTCTCCTGTTAGTATACTTTCCTTTTCTTTCAGTTTAATTTGCAGACCCAGAGGCATAACCTAAGAGAGTAGAGAAAAAGGTTTTTTTCCTCCCTACAGTTCTTTATCATCTTACTGTTCATCATGTTTAATGGCTTGTATGCTTTGCTTTATGCTCTTTATATATTGACTACAATATTGATTTATTTCTGTTACCTTTAGTTTTTAGATCAGTGGTTCTCAACCCTGGCTGGATAACAGAATGGTCAGTGAGGCTTTTTATAGAACCTAGACTTTGGGGGCCTACTCCAGAACAGACCCACTGAATCACACTGTCTGGCAGTGGGCCCTGAAATCTAATATTTTTTAAAAACAGTGTCAAGGAAAACCAGAGGCAAATAGAAGTTAAAATGGTACAGGCAAATCTTTTTTTTTTTTTAATTTTTTATTTATTTATGATAGTCACAGAGAGAGAAAGAGAGAGAGTCAGAGACATAGGCAGATGGAGAAGCAGGCTCCATGCACCGGGAGCCCGATGTGGGATTCGATCCCGGGTCTCCAGGATCGCGCCCTGGGCCAAAGGCAGGCGCCAAACCACTGCGCCACCCAGGGATCCCCGGTACAGGCAAATCTTATTCAAGAACTATTACAAGAGGGGAAACAGTACCTCAGTATAGGATTGTACCTCATTCTGGGGGCTCAGAATTAAGATTAAGCCTCCAACTCTTGGTTTCAGCTCAGGTCATGATCCTGCAGTCATGGGATAGAGTCCTGTCTCCTGCCCTGTGCTCAGTGTGGAGCCTGCTATGGATGCTCTTGCTCCCTTCTCCTGTGCCCCTCCCTACTCTCTCAAATAAATAAACAAAATCTTAAAAAAAAAGAAAAGAAAAGAAAAAAAAAAGAGTTGCACTCCATTCTGCATTACAGTAAGGATGGTGTGGATTTGTAGCCAAGGAGCAGGGTAGGTATCAATGGATGGGAAATTGCTAAGAGGAAGCATTAGGGGTAAGCAGGATTCTGGCTAAATTGACTTAGGATTCTTGCTGAATGAAGAGCAATGCAATAAGATCAAGGGTAGGATGAGGAATTTCTGAGGGTGAGGGTTTTTCAGTAAACTAGCTCAGTGAGATTCTTGCTAAAGCTGAACTTAGGGGGCCAAGGACAAGCCCAAGAATGATGCTTGGTCAAAAAGAGGACGCAGAGAGCCTAGGAAGGGAATCTTTGTCAACAGCAACAACTACTACAAAATATGACAAAGGGGATTCTGATGTGTGCACCTGTGGTTGAGTGTTGCAGCCTTATTCCCATGGAGGTTTGGGGCGTGACATTTCATTTACATCTTTTCTTGATTTTCTTTTTAGTAGTAACTTGATAGTTGTGCAAATTGTGCAGCTATTCCCCCGAAGCTTTTTCTCCTTTATCCTTTTACTGGAGTTGACCAAGACACCAAAAGGACACAAAATCAAGACCAAATGATTCTTCTTTTGAAGCAAACACACTTCAACAAATATTAAGGGCCTGTTGTGTTCCAGGCAGTGTTCTAGTTGGTGGGGGTATGGGGATAAATAAGGCCCGTGCTCTATTATTTGGGGATATGATGGTGAAAGCGTCAAATACAGTACACCAATAAATAAACAAGTTAATTTCAGATAGTGATAAGCACTCTGAAGAAAATAAAAGGATATAATAGTGACTTGCAGAAGGCTATATTGAGACAGGAGGTTTAAAATGAAATTGTCATTACAAGTTGTTATTGGTCATGCCCAGATTTGAGATAATAATAATATGTAGGCAGAGAAATAGCAAGTGCAAAGCCCAGAGTCAATGACAAGCTTGGCCTATTTGAGGGACAGAAAGAAAAGCAGTAGGACTAGACTATTATAGGTGATAAGATGTGGTGGTGTGAATAGGAATCTCTTAATTTCTATTAAGGATGATTCCTAGGCTTTGACTTTGAGCAACTGACTCAGTTACCATTTTAAGTGTATATTGTTAAGGCCCCTGGGTGGCTCAGCCAGTGAAGCATCTGACTCTTGATCTCAGCTCAGGTCTTGATCTCAGGGTCTTGAGTTCAAGCCCTGCATTGGGCTCCATGCTGGGTGTGGAGCCTACATTAAAGAATAAATAAGTAAAAATAAGAGTAAATTGTTAAGATGAGGATGACCAAGTGAAACTGAGGGAAGTCTCAGGTGATAGGATGGAGCTCTAACTATGCTTCTGGATCTGGGACTTTGGAGTTGTATCTCTCCGCCCATTTCCCCTCTCAGCCTCAAGGTAGCCAGAGTTTTTGCACGTTTGCATGTTGATCAGAGGCTCCCAGAGCAATTATTCTAAAAGAAACCTGCAGAGCTTGCATGGACTTTTCTAACCCAGCCTAGGAAGTCATGCAGTCACAGACCACCTCTTGAAGGGAAGTGTATCAGAGAATTTGCAGCAATGTTTTAAAACTGTCACATTACAGAAGCCTTCATTATATCATTTATTATCTTTAAGGTTAATAATCATTTATCTTTAAAAACAACATTGAACGGTAGCTTATCTTTGGAATTGATTGATTTAGTACTTTTTTATATGGTTAAAATTATTGCCTTAAAATTACAAACCACTTACTTATGCTGTACAGGTGGTTCTAAAAGTCTTCATATGACCTCCTTCCTTACACAGATACTGAATCCTGTAACACTTAATCAAATGAAGTAAAATACTGAAAATGATGCAGTTTTTCAAACTATTAAAATTATTCAAAGTTTTGTAACCCTATCCTGAAAGGATGTATGAACAAGTTTCTAGTTGAGCTTGTCATTCGTTTTCTAGAATGAGTCCTAAATTTGTCGGATGTTAAACTAAACATTTAATGGCTAAAGCTCTAAAGACTTTTTTAAAGAATCTATTCCTTATGTATTTACTTTTGTAGTTTGGAAACAGCAATTTTTTCTTTAAGTTATCTAGAATTCTGTAATGTATAAAAAGGGAAAATAGGATTGTATTATTATTTTTATATGAGGGATTTTAATAACTTAAAATGTGGAATTCTCATCCTTGACTAGGTGTTGCTCATCTTGGGAGCTTTCAGGAAAAAAAACTGATGCCCAGGTCCTACTCCCAGAGATTATGATTAGTTGATTTGGGATGGGATCCAGGTATTGGTATCTTTTATGGCTCCTCAGGTGATTCTATTATGAAGCCAGCCTCAAGACTCACTAGTCTACTGCTTCAAAGTGTGGAATTTGTGGATGCTAATCTTTGTCTCTGTAACAGGAGAAAAAAATGGAAGGCCTGCCTGATGCTGCTGCTTTTGCAACTAGACTTAAAAACACTCTCATCCAATATCATAGCATCGAAGATGATAAGTGGCGAGTTGCCAAGAAAGTGGTAAATTATTTAAATTACCTGTATTTGGCATTTATCTTCTATCTAATGAGTTGGTGGATGACTTTCAACATGATAAGGGAAAATTTGGACCATACTTTGGATGTGCAGGGTAGATAATTAAGCTAATAAAGTTGGTGGTTTCACATCTCAACCAAGGCAAACACATAATAATCCTGCACTGCTTTCATTACTTCTTTAGATACTGTACGTGAGAATAGGCTCTTGGCGATAGTAGCTTCTAAAGTCAACATATAAAATATATCATGTATGGGTAGTTTGAAATAGTTTCAGCTATGTCAGCAAGCCTAAGAGGGTAGCCAGTTAGCATTCTTTTCTACAGGTATGACCTGTCCAAACCATCACGTGGCTAGGTATTGACAGAGCCAAACCTAGAGCTCAGGACTCTTCCAGTTCAGTACTCCAGCTACTCTGATATTCAAAATTTCTTGGGAAATGATCAGAAAGAATTGGTAGGGACCAACTCAAGGTATGGTCACTGCCATAATAGATGTGAATGGTTTGATTTTTAAAAAGATAGGAGCAAGTTCAGAATGAAATATGTAGCATTCCTATTATCTTATCTAAATGTGTCTGTAATGCTAAATAAGATTGGAGTGAGGCAAATAATAATGGTCGGTGAGCTAGAGCCAACCCAGGATCTTGACAATGTTTGCACCTCATTAAGCTACTGGATAATCTATTTTGGGGGGGGGGGTCTGTACTTTAAGTAAAATGTGAAGAACTTTAGGATACAGAAGAAATTCAAATATGGATCATTTGATGGTAAAGTGACTTCTAGGTAACTCTTTGAATATTTACTTAAATTTTATTTTATTTTAAATTTTTAAAATTTTTTAAAGATTTTTATTCATGAGAGAGAGAGAGACAGAGAGGCAGAGACACAGGCAGAGGGAGAAAGCAGCAGGCTCCACGCAGGGAGCCCGGTGTGGGACTCCATCCCAGGACTCCAGGATCACGCCCTGGGCCAAAGGCAGGCACTAAACCGCTGAGCCACCCAGGGATCCCTACATTTTATTTTAATGCAAGGACAGACTGATGCCCTAGAATTTGAAACTGTTGGTTTTATATCCAGAGTTCTACCTAGGTGTTGATTTATGCCCATATACTGTTTTTATTTTTCTAGAAAGATGTAACAATTTGGAGAAAACCTTCAGAAGAATTTAATGGATACCTGTAAGTAAATTCTTGTAGTTTTATGTAGCTCTTAGGACATTGCCAAACTTTTTATATATATATATATATATATATATATATATATATATATACACATATACATATATATGTGTGTGTATATGTATATATATGTATATGTATATATATACATATATTTAGTGATAATATACATATATTATCACTAAATCATCATTGCCAGTAAAATATTGCTTTTAGGAACTTAAACTTTTTGAGAAGAATAGCACCTTGTAAATTCAAAGTCTTTATCAACATCCATATTCCTTGTGGACTGAGTTAGTGATAAAGGAAATCATAAATAAGGATATCAAATGGCCGATAAAATCTTAATTTCTCAGCATGGTATGTAACACCTTTCTAATAGTCTTCTGTATTTACTCAGTGCTGTAGCATACTTTATTCTAAGAATTTATCTTAAATCATAGGAAAGATAATAGTTAAGTACTTATCTCTTCCATCACAGCATTACTTATAATATTAAAAATTACAAAAAAATTTGAATAATCAAATGAGAATGGTTAAATTTTGAAACATGATATTTTACAGTCTTTAAAGACTACATTTTCAAATATTACTTTAAAACACCAGAAAATGCTCAAGATGTAATATAAAGTGAGTAAAGCAGAATTCTAAACTGCATGTAGCAGAATTGTGAGTTGACCTTATATGTTTTTATGTATTAAAATGTTTTTATTTAATACCAAATATACACCTCTAGATGGCAGTTCTGTAGGTGATTTCTATTTCCATTTTTTGGTATTTGCATATAGTTGAACATGAATTATGCTTTTAATCAGAAAAAAAATATATTGGTTTTTAATGCCAGTGGAGACAATTGCCTTGTGTAATTGGGAGTGGAATATTCATATCCTTGGGTTGGGAATCAGCCCTTTTAAGAATGAAACTGTTGGTCCCACGTACTATATTTTCTAGTGTAATACAAAGACAGCATTTCCAGAACAAGATTTCTGACAAGCACTGTAAGCAAGTGTGAAGTTTAATCCCTTACATCGCTGATTCCCAGTGGGGGTTGAAAACCATAAAAAGTGCCAAGGCAGCATTACACTTGGTGCTTGAGAGGACTTCACAGAAGAGCTAGTGTATGAGCTGAGCTTTAAAGAAAGAATGAGTTATTTCTTAGGGAATGAAGGACTGATTCATATTCCAGGCAGAGGGTATTGCATCTACTACATAAACACAGATGGGAAACCCTCTGAGGAGTTTGTTGATGGAAGTACAAGTGATGTCTGTATAGCTAGAGCATAAAGTGTGAGGGTAGGGAGAACATATGTCTGAAGGAATTTTTTTTTTAAGATTTTTTATTTATTTACTCATGAGACACAGAGAGAGTCAGAGAAGCAGGCTCCCTGTAGGGAGCCCAATGTGGGACTCGATCCCAGGACCCTGGAATCATGACCTGAGTCCAAGGCAGGTGCTCAACCACTGAGCCCGCTGGGTACCCCTGTCTGAGGGATTTTTTAATTCTAAAGTAAGGAATTCAGTGTTGTGCTCACCCTTGCTCAACCTTTACCTCCACTTCCCAGGTTCTCAGAGACTTTGAACTTAATCCCATAGCACTGTGAAAATGGAGGTGAGCATGGAGAGTTTAGAGGTTTTACTCTGGGAGCTGATGGCTAGCTTCTTAAAGTTTCCTTAAGATCATAAAATTTTATGTCAATCTTATATTCCTGAGAAGAGATCTTTGGTGTTTTTCAGAAACTTTAAGAGGTATGTAGTCCAAAGAGCTAGAAACGGGTTAGTGTTGAGTTGGACACACTAAGGATGTAGCATGGGACTTGAGGAGGGCACGTGAACATGAAAGAGCTCTAATGATGGTGCTGGTGGTGCTGGTGATGATAACTAATTTATTGAGGGCCAAATATTGTTCTAAGCACTTTACATTTAGTATGTCTTCTTGATAAAACATGGTGACTTCCGTTCTGACTACTGAAATGGAATTAAGAGAAAAAGAAGAGGCCAAGTTGAATCCCAGATGTCTAATTTGGGTGACTGGATTAATTTGTATTGCCCCCACTCCCACCCCTACCCCAAATTAGAGAACACAGAAGGGAAGGGCAGATTTAGGATGGGGGAGATAATGTTAGTTTGAGCTGGAAATATTTACAGAATGATGCAACAGCTTCAGATGATTTTTTTTTATAATTTTTTTTTTTTTTATTTATGATAGTCACACAGAGAGAGAGAGGCAGAGACACAGGCAGAGGGAGAAGCAGGCTCCATGCACCGGGAGCCTGACGTGGGATTCGATCCCGGGTCTCCAGGATCGCGCCCTGGGCCAAAGGCAGGCGCCAAACCGCTGCGCCACCCAGGGATCCCGCTTCAGATGATTTAAAAAAAAACTTTTAAAAAGCCCCACCCCTAATGTTACTGCTGGAGTTAAAGCAATCTCTCTTTTCTTCTTTTTTCTCTCCTCCCCAGAGCTAGCTACTGTAAGTGTGCATTATCCCTGTAGTATGCCTTGGCCATATATGTGTGTGCTGTGTTTCTATTAGTAATTTGCTTTTGTTTTTTTCCCACTTCATATGGTGTTTTTTCAAGGTTTAGCCATGTTTTCCATGCAGATCTGATCTTTTACATTCATGTGAAAATGCTCTGATATGTTTGCCTGTGTTTGCCCATTTTTGGGTCGTTGACAGTTCCTCCTTATGAAGTGTAATGCTACTGTGAACGTCTCTGGTACGTGTGATTTTTCTGGGTGTGTACCTGGGTCTTAAGGACACGCGAGACTGTGGGATTCATTGCTTTGCAGTGGAGGGAACAGTCTGAAGAGTTCTTCCCTTCCACTCAGTTTCACTCTGCCACACTCAGAGGCGTGAGATGCTATCTTGTTAGTATTTACTTGATTATGAATGAGGTTGAGCATCTTTTCTAAATTTACTGACATTTCAGATCTTAACATATCTTTTGCCCTTATTTTCTTTGGATTGTCTTTTCTCATTGATTTTCAGGAATTAATTATATATTCTCTTTAATGATGTCTGTTTGTATGTTGCACATGCCTTCTTCCAGTCTGTGGCTGGTTTTTAGAGAAATTACTTATTTTGTCGTTCGTGGTATGCAAGTTTTTAATTTTAACTGTCTAGTGTTACTTGTTTTTGTGTGTCTTACATATTCAAGAAATCCCAAAGTCACAAAGACGTATTTTTCTCAAAGGTGTAAAAGTTATGTAGTGGTTTTTAGTCCATCTGGAATTAATCATTGTGAATGGTATCAAGTAGGGATTCAGTGTTTAGTTTCCCTGTTAGCATAAGTACGGAATCAAAGCGCCACCCAAGGAATAGTATACCCTTTCCCCACCAACAGGTACTGCACCTTCGAAATACATCGAGGTCTGGATATTATTCCTGAGTCCATCCTCGGTGTGCTATTCCTGGGTGACCTATTTTTCTGTCCCTGTAAAAAAAAGTTTTTGAAAGAGTAAAAATATATGCATATTAATAACCTGTTGGAGCATAACTGAGAAAAGAATAGCATCCAGAGTAAATAAAGCGCTAGTGCTGTATGGACGGTTTGGGGCTATACTGTAACGTGGAGGTGCTTCACTATATTCATGGTAACATGATGTAGCCTTCAGGTCACTAATCGGTTTTGAGGGCAAAGAGTACATTCCATAAAATAATTGATATAACTTACCAGAAAAACTGCTGGGATTTACTCCATTTAAAACATCTTTATTAACTTTTACTTTTTTTAAGTTAGCTCTATGAGGGCATATGCTGAAATTCTTCATCCAAATAGCATCTGACCTTACTATCTTTCTCTCCAGGTTCAAAGCCCAGGGTGTTATAGATGACATCGTCAATAGTGTCATAGACCATATACGCCCGGGTCCCTATCGCTTGGATTGGGACAGCTTAATGACTTCAATGGATATTCTGGAACACTTTGAAGAGGTATTTATTTAGAAACATCACTTCAGGTTGTGTGTGTGCACGCGCATGAGAGAGAGCAGGTGAGCATGAGCATGTACCCACTTATATTCGTCGTATTCTTTGCTTTGAGAGTGAGTAGTCATGGCAAAGACCTCACAGGGGATACAATACTAGCTGCCTTTTAAAAACCTTGAGTTTCCTCATACTAACTAATGAGTTTAGTCAGAACTGAGTTTGTTTTCCACAGTAGCTCTCCCCTTGCTGCTTAAGAAAATTGTCAGCATCTTTAATTGTAAAGTTATGTTGAGGTTCTGAAATCTAAAATTCTGAAAACAGCACCATTGTATTAAGGTTTCTAAGTAATCGGATGTAGGTTTTTCCATTAATATTAAGCCAAAAGTCAAAGATCAGAGATAATGATGCCACCTTAGGTATTAGAGAATGATGTAACTGAGGCAGGTTGTCTTCTTTCTCTATTTATATTAATTCATTCTTCCCATGTTTGAATTTCTTTATTGAAACATTGGGTGTTTTAGTCTAAGTATTTGTGCATTTTATCTTAAACGCCTACAATCTATGCCACCTGCTCCCATGCTGAATGTCCTATAGGATATAAGGTCACTGTACTGAGGTAGAGATTTAGAGGCTGGGTGGCTTACCTCTTTGTACCTTGATTATATGTACCTTATTCACGTCCGTATGTAGCAGTGACATTTAGAATAGAGGTCTAAACCTGTCAGAATCACTGTAAGAATTATTAGTAATAATACATTTATAGGAGTAGTTGTTTTTTACTAAGGGTTAATTTTAGGGGAATATACTCTTTGCCCTCAAATCTGAGTCCATGTTTCCTAAGTAGCAACACCTGTTACCTGTTGTCTGTCTTTCAGAATTGCTGTGTGATGCGCTACACTACGGCTGGTCAGCTTTGGAATATAATTTCCCCTCGAGAGTTTGTGGATTTCTCCTACACCGTGGGCTACGAAGACGGGCTTTTGTCCTGTGGTAAGGATCTCACGACCTTATACTTTTTTCATCTGTTTTAAATAGATGAGTGTTCTAGGCGGGATGTTTCTGTGTGAGACACTTTCAGCCTCCACACTTACCTAATAATCACTAAGCTTTGCAAGCGTTACAGCATAGGGATTAAAATAACACTATCAAGAAGGGTTTCAAAATCTTTCCGGTAAGCTTTGATTCTCAGTTACCTGGTATCCCCGGGTCACAGCTAGTGAGTAGGGCTTACGTGGCTGCCTCTGAGGCAGGGATGGAGTAAGGAGCTTCCATCCCTCTCAGAAGACCGCCTCGTAGTCACACACAGAAAAACAGGCTTGGTGTGTGTTAGAATATCTTCCCTTCCTTGAGCTGTGTAGTATCTTTCTTTTAAAAGCTGACACTTCCTGCACTTAGAAGTCTCCTGCTTTCTAAGAGCCACCTGTAGGCGTGTTGTCTTCGCGTACAGTCTGTGCTCAGCTGGCAGCCGTCGGTAAACCCGCGCAGGCACGCGCCTCAGGCGGCCGTGCTGGTGCTCCAGGGAGTAGCGCTGCTGCCGGTTTCAGTGTTGGCACCTTGAGGCTCGGACGCTCCCGCCAAGATGCCTAGTTCACAAGGAGTTACTGAAGTGACATTTGTCACCTACTCTGATGGGATCAGAACCATCCCCCATTCCTACCCGCCAGGCCCCTATCAGAATTCCACCTGGGAATTCTTCCCTGGTCTTTCTTGGGGCTCACTTCTCATCTACATGGTAAGAAGGGAAATATTTGAACAGGAAATCTGGTAAGAGTCTTTGAATGAGAGTTTTAGACTAATCTCAGTCACTGCTATTCATGGTGTTATTTTAAAATTCCCTTACAGGGCTAAGTGTTGACTGGAGTGAACAGAGACCAGAGTTTATTCGTGGGTTTAACCATCCCTGTGGCTGGTTCTGCGTTCCACGTAAAGACAATCCCCAGCAGAGTCTCTTGACGGGCTATATTCAGACGGATCTGCGTGGGATGATCCCGCAGTCTGCGGTCGATACAGCCATGGCAAGCACTTTAATCAGCTTCTATGCGGATTTACGAAAAGCCCTACAGAAGGCCTAAAATGTCTAAACTCGTAGGACAGCCGTTCCCCCAAATCAACTTTTTCCCTCAGTGGCGTGGCCTGTGAAAATCATCCTTTTCTCTCTTCTGTGTAGCTGTAGAAACATGAGATGATTTGTCGGTTTATCTTATTCCTTAAAGTAGTTATCTAAGAGAAGGCATCTCCGTTTCCTTAGACAGTTGTTTGCGCACTGTTTGGTACAGCAGCGCGTCTTGTTTGACCGAAACTCTTACGAAACCGAACATTGCCTCGATGTGAATATGAAAGCACAAGCTTCATGTTGGTAAAGTCATCTGTTTTAGAGCTTTACGAAACCTTTAAAAGTTTTAACTATCTTAGGAAATTAAATATCAGTGCTTTACTTTTGGTACGCTCTATGAGTTGGCCAATATCTAGACTAAAGAGAAGAGTTCTTTATATTTTATAAAAGGTGAACTTGTCAGTTGACTTGTACTACTTCAAATATTGAAAAAACCAGAAATAGAAGAATAGAGATAGTATAGATATAATTCAGATACAGTTGTTTTGATACCTAGATAACATTATTTTCTGGATATCTTTTAAAAATGTATTTGTATCTTTCTGTCCATTTATTTTGGAAGTCTTCCAAAGTATTTATGCACGGATGAGACCAAGAACTGCCAAGTATGTGCTGGAGCTACCAACCCGATGGGTTGTGTAAAGGGCGTGGTGATGTCCTACATTCACCAACAGCAAATCGTCCAGAAATCAAATTCAATGAGTGTTTTCATATTTCAGTTTTTTCTTTTTTTAAGACAAGCCCTCGAGAAATAGCTTTTAATTCTGAGAAGTATCCAATATTCTGTAGGAAAATAATCAGATTTTTAGTCTTTCTCATTTCATCCATGTTCACATTTCAAAGTATCGCTCCCCTCAAAGTGTTACTGACTGCATCATACACGTTCACGAGCATGACGTGACTCAGTCTGGAACTTTTTTTTTTACTTTTTATTTATTTATGATAGTCACACACACACAGAGAGAGAGAGGCAGAGACATAGGCAGAGGGAGAAGCAGGCTCCATGCAGCAGGAGCCCAATGTGGGATTTGATCCTGGGTCTCCAGGATCGCGCCCTGGGCCAAAGGCAGGTGCTAAACCACTGCGCCACCCAGGGATCCCAGTCTGGAACTTTAGTACATGTGTTCATACATTTGTCCACTTGCCTAGATGAGTCATTTTATAAAACTGGCTTGGACTGTAATAGACCCCGTGACTCCATGGCTGCCTTAAATGAACATTCCCGAATGATCTGAACATTCCAAGTGATTCTGTTGCTTTTGAATAGCCACCTGGTTGACTTCCAAAATGAGACCTTGAGACAACTCGCTGTATCCTTGTGGGTGTATTTATGCTTGTGTTCAGGCCTACATCTTGAAATCTGTCTCCTGTTCAGTGGGAGTTATGTGGTACTTACTGTTTCTAAATGTTTTGTTTCCTTTTTAAAATTAATCTGAGGTTTCTTCTATTCCAGCATACTGTCTAGGATGGTGAAATGCTAGCAGACATCCAATTATGGGGCCCAGACTGGGTGAGGGATTTGTGACAAGATGGCCTGAGCTGGGTACCCTTAACATGAATAAACTGTCTAATGTGCTCTTTGTGTTTCTCAGCTTATACCTCCAATTAGTGATTACATAATCCACTGTTGCACTGGGTCCCTTGCACATAAAAGGAAAAATTTTTGTTGCAATATTGAGTCCTAGGATAGACTGAAAAATAGTATTTGAGTTACCTGAAATTTCTGTGCAGCTTCTAGATGGCACTTGAGATCTGCTGGGCTCTAGATGCTACTTTTTTCTTTTCTTTTTTAAACAGCTTTATAGAGGTATAATTTATATGCTGCACGACTTACTGGTTCTAAGAATACAGTCCAGTTACATCTCACATGCACTTAGAGTTGTGTGGTCATCACCACAGTCCAGCTTTAGAATATTTCTAGCAACCAAATGACCCCTTTGCCTGTCTGCAGACTCAGATCTAACCAAAGTTGAGCGCAGTTGCCCTTATACAGAAGATGAAAAAGATTAGCGTAGGCTTTATCTGGTTTTGTTAGAGGAGAGGTGTGTTTGATCCTAAGCTCAGGCACCTTATGGTAATGTATTAAATGTTATCTCAAATACTGTAATTATACAAAAATTTAATGATCTGGGTTGGGATTAATGATAACATATAATTGAGTCTGCTGTTTCTGTAGCAGTGCTGGATAATAGAAAAATAACATGAACCATAAATGTAATTTAAAATTTTCTATCTGCCACATTAAAAAGATAAAAAGAAGCAGCTGGTGTTAATTTTAATGATACAGTTTTTAACTCAGTAATCCCAAATATTACCATTTCATCTTGTAATCAGTGTAAAAACTGATTAAGATGGTTTACACGCTCCTTCTATACTAATTCGTTGAAATCTAGTGTGTATTTTACTGGGTTGAATGAACCACATTCTAAGTGTGCATTGTCCACATTAGGCCAGCAGCATGCAGTGGCCAGCACAGATCTGTTTGGTTTCATTCGTCTTTTTATAGTATGAAGTGATGAGTTTCACAGAATTACTCTCTTTTTTTTTAATTTTTATTTATTTATGATAGTCACAGAGAGAGAGAGAGAGAGGGGGGCAGAGACACAGGCAGAGGGAGAAGCAGGCTCCATGCACCGGGAGCCCGACGTGGGATTCGATCCCAGGTCTCCAGGATCGCGCCCTGGGCCAAAGGCAGGCACCAAACCGCTGTGCCACCCAGGGATCCCACAGAATTACTCTCTTAAATGCAAAATGTTTTCTGGTCCCTGAAGCCTCCTGCTTGCCAAATAGAGACTTCTGGACATCAGAAATCCATTCATTGTTGTTAATAACGTAAAAATTGTAGCCAAAAAAAGATTTTCCTTTAAAAATAAGGTGGACCGGCCATGAATGAAACAAACAAACAAACTATAATCTGCCGTGTTAGATGTATTTTCTCTAGTTTCTAGCTAGTTTGCATTAGAAATCTATTTATGCAGGAAATACTGGCACAGGACTGTTTTCAGTACGTGTCACCTATTTTTGTAAGGACATTAGTTTCATACAAAAATTAGTAGTTTAACACAAGTGATGCTCTGAAGTTCCCGTGTGTATTGATAACCCGACAGACGGCTCCCGGTGCATGGAGCCTGCTTCTCCCTCTGCCTGTGTCTCTGCCTCTCTCTCTCTCTGTGTGTGACTATCATAAATAAATAAATTTAAAAAAAACTTTGATAACCCGACAGACCCTCGAAGTTGAGCACAGGACGTGGCAGAAGTGATGGCGGGGACCTGGCGGCCGCGAGCTGCTGGAGCGCTGAAGAGACGCTGCAAATCCCAGCCGTGCCTCCGGGGCACTCTCCCTGAGGCTGCGGTACGCTGGCCGGCGTCTGCAGGTCAGACCATGTCCCAATAAAAATACTCCCGTTCCCGCTCCTGCGCAGCACTAACTGAAGGGCATGTTGTCAACGCTCGGGTGGAAGGACGTTCTCACCTGACGGTCGCGGGTGGAGGTGGGCGGGCCCTGCCGGGTAAGCCCTTTGCGGGTGTCGGGCGGGTACCAGGGCCTCCTTGCTGTGCGCGGGCTGGAAGCCAGGTGCTTGCGCTTCCGCGGCCACCTTGGGGACAGGTGAGCGGCCCGGAGAAGCCGGGGCTGGACCCGCTTTCCATCGCAACGTGGGTCGGAGGACCCCTTGTGGGGTCGGCCGCCCTTGCCTTTCGTCCTTCTAGAAGTAGGAGGAGGTGGGATCGGAGCAGACAAGGAGCAGAGCACATTGGTCACGTTGTCATTTCCAAAGATTCTGCGCGTGCAGCGGGGTAAAAGGTCGCGTCCCGCAGTTCAGCCGCCGCCGGGGGGGCTTCACGTTTTACGAACGTGTGTGACTCTGGAGGCGGGGTGTCCGCCCGGAGCCCCGAGCACGAGCGGGGTGTCCGTGCTGAGATGCCGGGACGGCCGGGGACGCCTGGGCCCTTGTCGGCGACGCCAGGGCACCGTGGCCGTCGCCGCGGACCGCGGCCTCCTGAAACAAACGGGAAAAGAAAGGTCAGTGGCTGGAGGCTCACCGGCCGCGTCTCCTCCGCCGCGCACCGCGGCCCCTGACGAGCTGCGCGGCCCAGCCTCCCCCTCCTCCCTCCTCCCGCCGCCCGCCTGCCCTGCCCCGCGGGGCCTCCCGCCCCTGAACCTGAGGCCGCGGCGGCCGCCACCTCAGGGGCCGGGGAATCCGTGTCGCCGGCTCAGCGACGCGGGGCCAGAGTTTCCACAGTTCTGCTTTTCTTAAAAGATTTTACTTATTCACGAGAGACGCCGACAGAGGCGGAGACGGGGCGGAGGGCAGCCGGCTCCACCCCCCGTCGCCCCGCCCTGAGCCCCGGGCCCGGTTCTTCGTCTCCCGGGGAGAAGGCGGCGGCCGGGTGCGGGGAGGCGGGCGGGCGGCCCTCACGCGGGGGCTGCGGACGGGGGCCTGCCTGCGCCGCGGCTCTCGGGCGCCCTGACGCCCCGACGCCGCTCCGCCCACGCCGGGGCCCAAGGGCGGGGGCTCGGGGACGCGGGCCGGGCGCCGGCGGGCGAGGAGCGTCCCGCCGTCCACACGTCGGGCTCTGACTGACGGCCGCGCCCCCCACCCCGTGAGGGCCGCTCCTCTCTGAGGGCCGCCTCCCGCCTGAGCGCCGCGCCGAGCCCGAGGGCCGCTCCCCCTGCCACCCGAGGGCCGCCTCCCGCCTGAGGGCCGCGCCGAGCCCGAGGGCCGCTCCCCCTCCACCCCCGAGGGCCGCCTCCCGCCTGAGGGCCGCGCCGAGCCCGAGGGCCGCTCCCCCTCCACCCCCAAGGGCCGCCTCCCGCCTGAGCGCCGCGCCAAGCCCGAGGGCCGCTCCCCCTCCACCCCCGAGGGCCGCCTCCCGCCTGAGGGCCGCGCCGAGCCCGAGGGCCGCTCCCCCTCCACCCCCGAGGGCCGCCTCCCGCCTGAGGACCGCGCCGAGCCCGAGGGCCGCTCCCCCTCCACCCCCGAGGGCCGCCTCCCGCCTGAGCGCCGCGCCGAGCCCGAGGGCCGCTCCCCCTCCACCCCCGAGGGCCGCCTCCCGCCTGAGGGCCGCGCCGAGCCCGAGGGCCGCTCCCCCTGCCCCCCATCCCCGAGGGCCGCCCCCACGCCCCGTGAGGGCCGCCTCCCGCCCGAGGGCCGCGGCCACCGTACTCACCGGGGCGGGGGCGGCCGTCGCGTCCCCCGAGCAGGACAGGGGCCCCGTCCCGCAGCGCGCCCGAGTGGCAGGGCCGCGCCCCCGAGGAGCGCATTGCCCGCATTGCCCGCCACGCGCCGCGGGTCCTTCCCCGGGTCCCCCGCGAAGTTCGGCCCAGGCCCCGCGGCAGCGGCGGCCCCCGCGTCGGGAGGTGCCCCGGACCCCGCGAGGACTCGCGGCCGGCGGCCCGACAGAGCCTCGCCTCAGGCGTTGGCAGCGCCGCCTCCGCGGTTGGCCCGGCCTCCGCTCGCCCGTCGCGCCCCTCCTGCCGCCCCCCGCCGCTGTCGCCCTGAGGCGCGGCCCCTGGTCCCGGAGCCTGCGGAGCCGGCAGCGCGCGCTGTTCCCTTCCGCGGGGGCCGGTCCGCCCCGTCGCTGCTGCGGCCCGGCCCCGGGCGTCCCTGTGGCGGCCGCGGGCCCGGGGCGGGGGGAGGGTGCAGGGCAGCGGCCTCCGCGGGGCCGTCGGGCGCGCCGCGGGGACTGGCGGGCTGTGCGGCGGCGGCCTCCGGGCGGGGTCGGGCGCGCGGGAGGCCGGAGACTCGGCGGCTCCTCCCGGCCGCGGGGGCCGCTCCCCGTGGGGCCAAGGCGCGAGCGCGGGCGACTTGCCGGGCGTCTGCCTGTCGGGGGCCTCCGCCCAGGGCGCATCCGCGAGCCCGCGGAGGGAGCCCCGGGCGCCGGCGGGACCCAGACCGCCAGCAGCGCCCTCGCCCCGCCCCGCCCCGCCCCTCCCCGTGGCCGCGCCTGCTCCGCGGCGTCGCCTCAGGGGGTTCCCGCGCCGGCCCGGGCGGACTGGCGGCTCCAGGGGACCAGCCGCCGCCCCCGGTGTCCGCGCCCCACGCGCTCTCGGGCCCGTCACGCTCCCCGCGGAACAGCGGGCAGGAGGCCGCCGGTACCTGGCGCCGGCCCCCGTCCGCCCCTGCGCCCCTGCGCCCCGACGCCCGCGAGCCCCGCGAGCCCCGAGAGCCCGTCTGGCCGGCCCCGGGGCACCTGCTGCCGTCGGGCGCGCGCCGCGGGGCTTCAGAACGAGTCCGCCGCCGGGAGGCGCCTGGGAGCGTCCGAGGGGCTGAGGCGACGGCTCGGCTCCTCTCAGAAGGAGCCGCTGAAGCTGGACTTGGAAGGTGAGCGGCGTCGGCGGCGGAGCTCCGGGTACGGGACTTTAAACAGGAGGATCCAGTCTCTAAGCAGCCCCGGATGCTGGGCACCCCCACCCCCGTAACCAGCTCCATTCGTCCCGCAGATCTCTCTCGTCCCTGGGAGCCGCCCGGCAGCAGCGCCGCTTCCCCCTCGGCTTCCTCCGGAGCGAGAGCCCGAGGCCCGCGGCCCCGCGGAGCGAGGCGGCTGCCCCCGACGCCGCGGGACGGCTCCAGCCTCGCCGTTGCCTGCAGCGCCGCGTCCGTCCAGGCTTCGCTGGGCCGCCTGCTTTGGTCTGGGTCGAAACGTCTCGGGTCTGTCGGAGCAGCTGCAAAGGCGACCGGACAGCAGACAAGTAACTGAGCCTGGTCGTGTTCTCATAAAAACTTTATTTAGAAAAGCAGGCCCCTGCTGACCTGGTCGGGGACCCCAGTCGGCCTGATTCCTGAAAATTGTTCTTTGGAGATTGAAATTTATTTCCTTGGGTGATGATGTGGAAATTACTTTTTAAAAAATGCACACAGACGTTTTATAGGCATATCATGACCACCAGAGATAATTAAGAAAATATAAACAGTAGCTGCTAACTCATGTACTAGCAATAATGCCTTTCGCCAGACACCCTTAGCTCACTGGGCATGAGGAATTACTTGGACCCCGGTCTGCGGTTCCCACTCAGTGAACTCACAAGACATTTTAAGATTTCAAGGGAAACACAGCAACGTCCATCAGCTATGGAATGCACTAGGACACGATTGTTCGGGCCCAACGACTTAATTAATGGACATGATAATTTTCTTGGCTTCGGGAGGACCGTGAGCATAATACTGAGACCAAGGGTGTGCTAAGAGAAACACCTTGAGAACTTCTAACGTAAGCAGTAACCTTGACAATAAAAATGTAAACAAAATCTGAACCCATGAATACGCTACTTGTACTCTATGCTGCCGGGAGTCGCGGCATGATAGCTGATAAAATAGGTCAGGTTAACAGGAGGCAGGGAGTTTCCAATTTATAGTCATACTTTTATCTTTTACAGACCAGATGAACAACCATACATAGTTCAAGGAAAGGACAAAGAAAGGACCAACCTAGTCAATTTTTATCCACAACTGATGGTCAGAGACCACTTGGGGGGGGGGGGGAAGCTTTCAAAAACTCTATTGTGAAGCCTATTATATCTGAGTGCCCCAAATAATCTTTTAAGTGGAAAAGAAATAGTATTATTTTTAACTGGGTGAAGATTAAATATCTGTCATTTTTAACAATGAGTCATAGCAAGGATCACACAGATACAAACAATTCCATATCCATGGGTTTTCCAGGTCAATCGTCAAAATATGCTGAAAACTACTATTAAGAATAAGCACGATTTTACAGTCTTAGCATTGCTGTTTAGAGTTTCAAACTAGATTCTGGGCCACCACAGGCCCCACAGTCCTCCAACAAGTCCAGGATGCTCCTTCCAGGGTTCTAGAGGATCTCAAGCTAGAGGGCAGCCTGACGGCAGAAGGATGGAACAAAACCTTGATCTGGGCCAAGCCGTAGCAAACCAAGACACAGGAAAGAGTAACTGACGGGTGGAGTCCCAGTTTCTCATCGCTGAATAATAGCAGGAATCCCAGCATTCACACAGCATCACTTTCAGTCAGCAGGGGAAGGGGCTTCTTTCCATTTGGCTCATCTGAGCTCAACCAGGTCAGACACCTGGAGTCTTGTGAGCGAAGTCTGATTCCCGCAAAGGAGTCCGATGGGCTGCTCTCATTCAAGGCTTCCATCTTGCTCTAGGTGGACGTCTGGGCCAGATGACAGGGGAAATGACTGAGGCTTGAAGGAAGTTAAAATCATGCAATCAAATCCTTTGGAGTATTTCACAAGCTTTTATGAAAATGGGAATTTTAAACAAGCCAACGTGAATTAGTCAAGTTTGTTATTGCTCTCCGAGAGAAGTGTATACATGGTTGGGCTCTGTGAGCTGAGACTGTATTATCTGATCTCAGGTGATAGCGGAAAGGATGAATAATGACAAAAACTGGCCCGTAGTAGATTGGAATGTAAAAAGAGGAAATGCTCAACTTGGTAACCATGGTGGGTAGCTGATCTCTCTCCAGTGGTTTTTTTTTTTTTTTTCTCTCATATTCGTCAAGGAGCCAGAAACTCACCCTGAGTTGTGCCAGGGGAAGAAAAGGACTTTGAAAAAAACATAGAAAATTATTGGGTACATTTCTGCTTATCACATGGTTATGAATATCATTACACCAACATTGTGTTTACATGCACATAAATGTTTTTTAAAAACATGGATGACAGACACAGAATCTGGTCGATAGGCAGTATGTAACCAGTAAATGCTCCGATTTACGACCCTAATCAGGAACATATCCATGATGAACATTAAGGAAATTGGAATGTGACCTAATAGACAGTAATTGCAAGGATATTACAAACCCTATTATGTAGGCAAATGTCTGGAAACTTTGCACCACCTAAAGCAGGCCTGCATAACCAGACTGAATACTCTGCAATGACAAGCAAATTACATAATGGCGTTGTAGTTATGTAAATGACTCTGCTCAGTATATTTATTTCAATTTTATGTGGAGTCAACCTTCATCCAGAAAAATCGAGTGCTGATTCACTTCGTTGACTTTTCTTTTTTCATGTGCTTTGCAAGAACAATCCTAAAACTGAATAAATGGTTTACTAATTTTATTCTTTGCCTTTTCTGGCATTTACTTCTTTTTTTCCATTTTTGAAATGTAACCAGATGCTTCTGTGAAATAAAAACTGAATTATGAAACAAAATGGCTCTCTCTAAATCTTCGGTCTGTAGGCAGCCCACCAGCAGTTACCTTGCATATGAAACTGGAAATAGGGGTTGCTAGACATTCTTAATTACAAAATGTTTAAAATACTATGTAATTGAGGTCACAGTAAAAGGCAAACTATTCCTTTCTTTCTCAAGTTTGCCACTAAAAATGGCTATAGAACCTTGAGGATTATTCTAAAGTAGCAGTATGTAAGAAAATTCTAAGTCTTTTGAATCCATGTATAATGGCAGTGTTGATTAAATCGTTCTAAGGAAACCTAAAAAATGCCAGCCAGTGGTCATCCCCATTTCGGGTGTTACTGAGAATATCCTCTCCTCATCATATAATCTTCATCATGCAAATTTAGTACATTTCAGTAGATTTGTAGAAAGAAAGCCTGTAAGAAAATGATGCCCAGATTAGTCCAACCCTACAAAATCCCATTAACATTTTATGTGCAGTCCCTCCTGAACGGGGGCCCACCGTCTGCACACAGTAAATTTTCATACACAAGAATACTATTGACCTTTTGGGAGTACTCCGGAGACTCCAGGGCCCAACAAGGGAATCAAGGGACTGCAGCCAACAGACAAGTTTGCAATGCCCAGGAAAGCATTGTTCTCTAAAAGTCATGTTGGGAAACATCCCTTTGAAGCACATGATTAAGCAGATATGGCCAAGAGTTTTTACTTATTTCAGTCTATGACAGTTCAGAAATATTTTCTTTTTGGCCTCCTACCAGCTCATCCATGTGGGAAACTGAGGCAGCCCAAATCCAAGCACAGAAATCCACGTGCCATTTTGCTTTAGAAGGACTTAGTTTTGTTCCAATACATTAGCAACTAGTCACATGTGGCCATTGAGCACTTGATGTACTGAAGGTGTAACATGGTACTCCTGATTTTGAGAACTTGATATAAAAATAAAAAATTCAAAATATCTCATTAAATTTTAATACTGATTATACATTGGAACAACAGCATTTGTTCTAGATGATAACTTCTATAATCGTATTATTCTAATTTCTACCTTATTTATGTATTTGTGGGACAAATGAGCACTTATATTCTGAAAAAAAAAACACTGGGATTCCAATTAGACTTTTTAAAATGGTGAAATAATTAAAGATTGTCTATCTTCATGGTAAAAGAGTCTAGTTTATGCTTTGTATCTGAACTTATCTGAAAAAGAAAAATCAATAATGTAACAACTGTCAGCTCTAAAATGCAAAACATAATTTATTGTTCTGTGTTGAAATATCCTTAATGTTTTTTTGCTCTGTGACTATATTGTCTTATTTAAAGGTAACATTATGCAACAGTTTGTCAAATTAAGGCTCTATCTGCAATAGGCTACCATTATTTAGCTAAATAATCTCAGAGATAGGTAACATCTCATTTTAAGAAGCAAGATAAATGTTTGCTCCTCTTCCAAAAATGTTAACCTAATGATCCTAACTAAGGCTGTATTTCTGTGAAATCGTAGATTGAATCACTTGGCTGAAATGACCCAATTTTTGTGAAAGTCAGACTTGTTTTCCATCGAAATGACAAAGTTGGTCACTATTTAGGCATTATCAGGACTTACTCTTTAACATACAAGTTAAAATTTAAAAGTCTCATTGAGTTTTAGAAAGTACAATTTACAGGGTAAAAACACAGAGAGAGGAGGTTACCCTCCGTCGCTCAACTACCACCGAGGGAGAGGCACGTGCACTCATTTAAGTGGGTACATTCCTAACCACACGTTGGCCCCGGCATTGGCAGGGCTGCTACTGCATCTTCTGCTACAGGGCGTCCAGCCGCACGGGTCAGGCCCCAGGGAAGGCAGGACAGGCCGGCCCTCTGCCCTGGGAATGGGGAGGGGTGTGTGGGGCATGGGGGATGCCCTGAGGGGCAGCGCACCCTCATCTGCCAGCTAATAGCACTTCTAGTCAGACCCACTTCCCCCTCTTCTTTCCTTTTCCAATATGTGGGGCACTTGCCCTGTATGCCTGTTGAGTCTCATTAGGAAAAGTACACCAGGCAACTGACCTTCTCACATGGAAATGTTAATGCTTTAGTGAAAAAGGCAATCCTAAAGGTTAAAAATAGCGAGCCCTTTACAATTCCTAACATAGAAATTCTGAGAGAGGATAAAGAGGGAAGGAAAGAAAGGGAGAAGAGGTAAGTACTCTCTACTAGGTCATCAAAAGAAGTCAAAACAAAAAATTATCTTCTGAGCCAGGTGATGTGCCCTTCAGGGCGGTTTCCTCTGTCCACATCGGTGACTGACTCCTCAGGCCTCTAAACTACAGACAAGGAGAAGTCCTACCTTGTTTTCTTCTCTCGAATCGTAGTAGAGGAAGATTTGTGCTTGGAAAGTAGACTGTCTCCCAAGGTCCAGTAGCCCCCCAGGAACTGGAGGTTTAATGTCGTTCCAATTTCATAGTTTTGAGGAAGAGCTAAAAGAATTTGAGATCTTTTTTTGATGAGGATTTGTATGTGACAGTCATTTTTACTGTCCATCCTTTTGGTCTTTGAGAATAGTCTTTTAAAACTGAGGAAACCTAAAATGTGATACATAATTTGATAAAAATGTTCAACTCAAACTAGAAATAAATATGATGTACTTGGAATTTAAGTGTGATTTCTATAAAGAAAAGGTGTTCATACGAAAACCAAAGAAAGATACTTTGAAAAAAATTATAGTGAAGTATTAGTTCTAATGTTACAGCTTCTCATGAGTCTGATTTGAAATCAGTGCTTTCTTTTCTTTTCTTTTTTTAAGGTAAATAAAACGTTGCACTGTCCTAAATTTCTTGGCATGGAAGCTAAAGACTACATTGAAAAGTTTGGGCACTTCTATTCCAAGTATGAAAAAAAGATATACCAGATTTTCAGAAACATCTTTAGTTCATAAGCAATAGATCGAGATAACCATCAATTGAAGGAAAAAAGGACTTTCATAAACAAAAGTTTCCTTAATCTAGTAAAGCCAATAATGAATGATCTTATATGGAATATTATTCTCACTCAGACATTTTGGCACCAGCGTGTGGGGTAGATTTTTCTAAATATTTGAAACTTGGCTAACTGTAGAGTTTATCCACAAAAATGTCACGGTCTTTAAAGTTGTACAAACTTATAAAGAAATCCAATTTTATCTGAAAATGACAAGCAGTCAACCTTTGTTAGTGTAAGTCCAGGCCTTAGGTCCTTTTCTTCCCTTGACTGTGTTAGCCTACCTTAAGTGTTGTCGGTGAGAAAGAAACTGTATTAGCGGGGAAGGAAGGAGAGTACCTCCCTCAGCAGAAGTTGGTAAAATACTTTCTCCAGGACTGTATGATGGCAGGATTTTGTGTAGAACATTTTTGGTTATTAGTAATATTGTGTGTATAAATAAGGACAAAATAAGGAAGCATTAGCCAGACAAGCTTTAACGGCATTTTTGTTTCATGGCCCTTAAGTATGCTTCAACATCTTACCATTATATGTGGGATTTTTTTTTTGTACATATCATAAAACTATAGCCTGTGACCATGTCCTTGTAAACAGTTTGGGCACATCGGACAGTGTGAGCACATGGACAAGTACGGTGTTGCGAATGCCTGCGAAGATGTCTTCCAGCCTACTCAACCAAAGGAATCACTGCCTTAAGAAGGTTTTCAAAGCAAAAACAATTTGTTACTAGTTACTTCAATCTGTGCTACTGGTCCCTGAACATGTATGTATTTAAAAGTTACATTGCACTTACTTGCAATTTCAAATTTAACTCCTCGGCATGAGGTATCCATTACATACCATACAAGACACTATTTTTTCATAAAGCAATCACATGCATGAAATTAGGATTACCAACTGATAATGTATTTTTTTTCTGCACCTCAAAAAACAGAATCACTATAGTGCTTCTCATGCTTCCACACCTTCCTTGCTGAAGGACAAAATGCATAAAATGCCAGAATTTGGCTTCCAGATCGGAAAGAAGCCACATCAGTACTCTGGCAGGATCACATCATTCTGCGGAGCTCCAAATCCCAGAGCTGGGTTTTCTTGCCCTTCTTTGGGGGCTGCTGCTCCCTCCACGCTCTTCAGCTTCTCCTCCACTAAGCCCTCCTCTATTTCTGCATCAGCCACCTTCATCTCATCCTCTAGTGCCTTGGGCACCATGTTGGTGGCCTTGGCAGCATTTCCATCAGCATCTTCAACGTCCCCTGCGGCCTGTACCTTCATCAGCTCAGCCTCTGCCCCCTCGACTGCCACGTGGGCCCCACCTCCTTGAACTTTCTCTCCTTCCGAAATAGCTTTAACATCTTCACTGCCATCCTGGGTGGGAGATGGCTCCTGGCTGGCCTTCTGGCTCTCCTGGATGCTGCCGTGGCTGCTGCTGGCGCTTCCCAGCCGGGAAGAGGCCACCACGGCCTTCACTGCTGCCTGATTGGAAACACAAAAGTGTTAGGTAGTACTTGAAAATCCTGAATCAGGGATGCCTGGGGGGCTCGGCGGTTGAGCATCTGCCTTGGGCCGAGGGCATGACCCCGGAGTCCCAGGATCGAGTCCCACATCAGGATCCCCGCAGGGAGCCTGCTTCTCCTTCTGCCTATGTCTCTGCTTCTCTCCCTGTGTCTCTCATGAATAAATAAAATCTTTTTTTAAAAAAAATCCTGAATCAGAGCTCAATCTCAACTTTGCATTTAGGGAGTTTGTTTCATTTATTTTATGGATTCCAAATATATTCCAAGATGACTTAATGAAACTTGTTCGGAGAATGAACAGCAAAATCTCTTTGATCTCAAGCTAGTGTATTTAGTTATCTGGACAAGCGAAAGCTCAGGTAGATGTGTCTGCCCCTGGATTATCTGTTTTCAAGTATTTTGGACTTTGTTTCCCAAAGTCTTTGTTTCATGGAACAAAAGAGTTCCACAGTCAAGTTTATTTGAGAAGGGGTAAGTCAAGTTTACCTAATCCACAGCATTTCACATACCACACAACCCTTAAGGTTTATTTATTCTTTAGTCTTTACCAGCCTGTAAGTGATGGCTAGACAGAACAGTATTTTTGACCCTCAGCTATTCTCTGAAATCCTCTGGAGATGTAGTCAGTCCTAAACACCATTAAGTAAGAGAAAGGCATGAAATAGATATTCCATATATACTCCATAAAAAAAATATGATTTTGGATAATTTTCTCCATCATGTGAATTATAGCCAACCCTTGAACAGCATAGGTTTGATTGCAAGGGTCTACCTACTACAAGCAGATTTTTTTCAACAGATACATTGAAAAATTTTTTGGAGATTTGTAACAACTTAAAAAAACTCACAAAGTGTGCAGCCTAGAAATAACCAAAACATTAAGAAAATGTTGGATATTATTGTAAGAAAACAGAACATAATACACATAACATACAAAGTGTGTTAATCGATTGCTATCGGTATGGCTTCCAGTCAACAGTAGGTCATCAGGGATTACATTTTGGAGGGGGTCAAAAGTTATAGGTAGACCAAAAGTTATAGAGGAATCGGTGGTGCCCGTAACCCCAGCATTGTTCAAACATTAGTTGTATTTTAATTTTTATCAAGTATGGGGATTTATTTTTATTACAAAATAATAGTTTTTTAAAAAAGTTTCCCAATTTTCACATATTCAGAAAGAAGGCAACTTTCTGAATAAGTATGTTTCCTGAGCGATGTTCATCAAGCAGTTCAGTCTTAATTAAATGAGAAGCAGGGACAATATATTTGGTGAATAAATCTCAACATCACTCATTTCCCTTTATTAACAATGAATTCTTATGAGAGAATCACATGAGCGTCAGTGCTTTACACCAGTATTGTTGGGATTTCAAAGCAGGATTTTCACTGGTTCCATAAGAGATAAATAGTATTAGATGAAGAATAGTGGAATTATCTTTAACAGTTCAAGAGATTAAAAAAGAAACAGAGCAAAACAAAACATATCTTACCTTAAGTTTGCGTCGGGCATTGAATTCCTGGAGTTTCTTTTGGGCCGTATCCATGTGCACAAAGTTGGCTGCTTTGCCTGTGACCCACGGGTGCTGGAGAGCTTGGAAGGTGGTCAGCCGTTTTTTAGGATCCAAAACAATTAATTTTCTGACCTGAAATGATCAAGAACCATAGATTTCTTAGGGGAAATCTTACAGTGACCCAGGCTTGCCTCTCAGTTGGTGAACTTGTAGGTTTTATTCTGTTTTCCTTGCAGTGCCACTAAATACACATTTAAAAAAACAATTTGAAGGCCTCGGGGTCACTGTAAGGACAGGTCAGGTGGCGGTGGCGGGGGAGCCCAGGGAGATGGCATAGCCCCTGTGGCCCACCGGCTGCCCTTCCCAAGGGAGCTCAAGGGGCAGGTGGTGGCCTGCGTGGCGCACGTGCTGTGGAGCGGGACCAGCATGAGTGGTGCTGAGTGGTGGCGGCGGCCCCGCGCACCACCTAGAACTCAGGACCTCGGGGCCGAGTCAATGGCGATGGAATCACGGTGCCCTCGTCACGCAAACGGCAGGACCATGTCTTGACGCTCATCCCACCTTCTATGCTACAATTCCTTCTGGTACCTTGATGGTTTTGAAGCAATAGGCCAAGTGCTGGTGTACAAGCCTATAAAGGCGTCAGCGGTTTAGGGCGTGTCGTTTGAAGGACTGAATCCAGCCTGCGGGGGAGGCTGCCCCCAGGATGAGCAGAGGCTGAACTGCCACGGGAGCAGCGAGTCTCCCGGCCTGGGCCCCGGCAGGCCCTCCTCACAAACGCTCCCCTGGTCTTGACCCGGGTCGCAGGCTGACTTGGAGCCGGAGCCTGCGCACACCCTGCAGGGCTGGGACGCCCTCTTCCCACGGTGTCACCTCCACTCTGAGTCCCCGTGAATCCCCTGCCAGGGGCGTGGCGGGGGCTGCAGAACCGCACAGTCCCTTGCAGCCTGTCCCTGGGAAGCGAGGGCGGGAAGCAGCCAGAGAGCCCTGCTGCCGCGGAGGCCAGGCTGCGGGGGGCGGGCACTGCCTGGCACTGGGGCCACGGCCCTCCAGCCATGACCCGGACGCGGTCCCCACCGCCTCGGGCCACCCCCAGTGCCTAGGACAGCACCGGGCACACATGCTCCACGTCCCCAGCCCTCCTGCCCCTCCCGGTGCGTCCCCCTGCCAGCTGCCAGCAGCAAGGCCAGGCCCCTGTGAGCCCTGACCCCGCGGTGATCGATGATCGGAGCAGGTGCGCCACCCAGGGTGCCCTCCTGCCGCTTGATGTTTGTTAGTGATGGAAATGTAAGGAGTGACAGAAAGGACGGCTGGGGTAAGCCGGTGGCGGTTGCTGAGCCTGCCCACGCCCCCGTCCCCCAAACCTACAGAAGGCCCTCGTCATCCCAGAAAACGCCCTGGGTCACAGCTCGAGGTACGGGAAAGGGGCCTCGGGCCCACGCAGGTCCAGGGGGAGAGAGATGGGGGAGGCGGGTGGGAGGAAGGAGAAGGGGAGAAAGGGAGGGAGATGGTGGGGGGCGGGGGAGGAAGGGGGGCAGAAATCGGGGAGGATGGGGGCAGGGAGCAGGGGAGGACGGGGTGTCAGGGGTCAGGGGAGGACAGGGCACGGGCAGGGGGCGGGGGGGCGGAGAAGCAAACAGAGTCAGGAGATGTTGGGGCGTGGGGCCACCTGGAGGGAGGAGCTGGCAGGAGGCCTCGGCGTCCCAGGAATAGCCACGTCCTGGGGCTTCAATGGGGCCAGAAACGCGTGGCGGCGTGGGCTGGGCTGGGCTGGACCCTCACACGCAGCCGCCGTGGACGTGCACAGCGGGGCACCTCCCCAGGCTACCGTGCAGGGTGAGCCGGCCATCGGGGGGCAGCTCCTCACTGTCCTGCGCACGGCGCTCACCCGGGGCTGCCCTTCACCCTACAACTGGGCCGGCCCCTTCGTGCTGGCGGGCATCACCCTTAGTTCAGGTGGGAAGCAGTGAGAACAGGGACAAGCCCACGAGTGACCCGTCGGCGAGCTCGGCTGGGAGGCCTGAGGCCAGGGCGCTGGTGCCGTCACCGGGGCATGTGGCACCTGTGGCAGGTCAGGAGTTGGGAGCGATGAGCCGGCAGGCCTGCTCGGCACGACCTATGACCTACAAGGAAGATGGATCTGTGGGCATCCGCAGGCGGGTCCTCACGGATGACGATCATCAAGGGGGGCAGACTGGGAAAGGATGCTGCTGCCCCTTAATCAGTAAAAACTCAATGTGAAGACTCGACTGGCCTTGGCCGTGGTCGCACTTACCAGGTCCTTGGCATTTAGAGACACTTCATCCCACCAGGGGGAGATAAAGTAGTATTCGCAATTCAGAATTCTCCTGAACATGAACTGATCACCTCTTTCATCGTAAAATGGTTCAAATCCACAGAGTCTAGAAGGACAGAAGCAGAGAAGCTGTCTTTAGGAACCTGAACACATCTCATCAAACTCCCGCAGAAGTCCCGCTCACCCTTTGCCCACGTCCAGGCCACTCGGCCCACGGCGCAGCCACCCTGGTGCGGTTCCCTGCCCCCGTGCGGTCCCCACCGCCTCGGGCTGCCCCCAGTGCCTAGGACAGCACCGGGCACACATGCTCCACGTCTCCCCCTGCCTCCCTGCTCCCCCCTGCCTCCTGCCCCCTGCCCCGGCCCCCTGCCCCCTGCCCTGGCCCCCGGCCCCCTGCCCCCTGCCCGCACAGGACTGCGCCCTCTGGAACCACCGCCAGGCTCCACACCGACCTGAGGGTCCGGAGAGCTTCTCCCAACGTCAGGACGGCGCCCGGGGCAAGGCGGAGGACCAGGGAGCAGCGAGAGGGCATTGCCACAGCCCTGCTCCCGAGGCGCCCCCGGAGGGGGTCCACTGGGAGAGCCCCCCCCGCCAGGATGTCAGAGGACAGTCCCCCCGCCAGGATGTCAGAGGACAGTCGGGAAGGGAGAGTCTTGTGAGCAAAGGGCCTTTCAGGGGCACACAGGACACCGCAATAGAGGAGCCGCGTCCCTGCCGGGCCGGCGCACAACACCTGTAGCGACCCTGTCAGGCTCCTTCCGCAGGGCAGCAGCAGGCGTGGGGGGCACCCCGAGGGACGCAGCTGCCAGCCTGGGTGCCACGCCTCCCATGTTTACGGGCGGCGGGGATGGGCTTGGAGATGTCGGGGACACTACGATGGCGCCCCAACCGCGGCAGGTGCCGCTCTGCGCAAACGACGAGGGACAATGCGCGTCAGACACGCTTCCCGGGGCCTCCCCGTTTGAGGGCAATGCTGACCTGGGGGTTCCCACCCAAGCAGCTTCTGTGTCCCTTGCTCGGGGACGTCCCGTGGGGACAGTCCGTGTGTCCTCAACACCATGGAGCTCCCCCTGCCCTGTGGCGGCCAGGTCCTGCTCCTGTGGGCACAGGGCCTCCCTGTGCCGTCCACCACGCGAGAACGTGACAGCCCGGCGCCACCCGGTCACAGAGAGACTGGCCCACCCGTCCCACCTGGGTCAAGAGACCCTGATGCTTCCCCTTCTGGAAATCTAGAAGGAACGGTGGCAGCTGAGCAGGCACAGACCCAGCTGCCCCTCCCAGCTCTCAGACGTGCCTGTCAGTCTGTGCTGGTGACAGGAGTAAGGAGCCCACGTCACGTCAACAGAGATGCCCAAGCAGAAGAAACGTGCCAGAGCGACATGCACATGCGCACACTGTGCAAGACGCCTGCAGGAACGGAAGCGCTGCGGTGGCGACCGCGGCCGTTGGGGGTGGCAGGGCCTCAGGCCTGGGCTGAGAATGCACCGGGGCCCCAGCCACGGGGCCAGCTGTGCTGCTGGGAGCTGAAGGGTCCGAGTGAGGTTACCTGACGTGACGCTGACCCGAGCCTTGCAGTGGCCGCTCTGTCCGGCGTACAAAGGATTGAGGGGTAGAAGGTACAGGGACCAGAATTCTGTGAGAAGTAACAGAGGGGCCCTGGTTTTCGTTCTAGTGTTCTCCTCAGGAATAGGCAGTCAGGGCACAAGGTCAGGGCGCAAGGTCAGGGCACGTGGAGCTTCCCATGAGAGTGCGGCAGACGCGTCCCCGGAGCCTCACCCCGTGGACAGCACCATGTACTGCTGACCACAGAGCAGTGTGAACGTCGGGCTGGGGGCCCACGGGGCAGGCTGGCGCCGGGGACACGTTCACACGGGGAGCTCCCATGTACTCGGAAGCCACAGCTGTGGTTGATGACCTGAGGTGCACCACGGAGGGACCCTGACCCTCCTCTCTCCGGGTAGACTCCACGCCCGGAGGGGCCAACATGGGCCTGGACTCACGGCCCAGACACCAGGACCTCCGCTGAGGTCAAGAGTTGGATGCGTGCCCGACGGCGCCGCCAGGAGCCCCGTTCATTTCTCAGGCCTCAGAGGGACTGTGAGCGGCCTGCTCGCCCCCCTCGGAGTGCTCGGCATCCTCCACCTTCCCCCGCCTGCCCCACCAGCCCGTGTCCGGGGGACACCCCGACCATGCCCTGCCGCCCCACCCGCCCCACCGCACGGCCGCCGCCCGGGACTCGGGTCACGAAGCAAGCCCCTACCACAGCAGACACGTTCCCTGCCGGGTCTGCACTTCCATAGGAAAAGCCTTCCTCTCCGAAGGCTGCTCAAGGCTTGGCGTCTGGATGGACAGGGAACCCAGCGCTGGAACCATCTGGACGTGCACAGTGGCCCGTGGCCACCTCCGGGGCTGCGTGTCGACCCCTGTTGGCTGCGGAAGGTGGAGTACGCCTGGCTGACCCCAGAGTTCGCTCAGGTGTCGGGGTGCCTGAGGCCCCTCTAGCCCTTCTTAACTAGACGCTGCACTAAGATCACTGTTAAGCCCCCCAAGCTCTATGGACGGACTGAACCGTGCGACCCACAACTCCTAGGATGGGAAGTCCCTGCCCGAGGGCTCTAGGGGTCGGGGTGCTCCCACCAGGTGGGACTGGTGTCCTTAGGGGGAGACACAAGTGCTCACGCTCCCCCTCGCCATGCGGGCCTGTCTCCACGACGGGACCTCCTGGCTCCTGACCCCACACTGCGGCCTCCGGAGCCGCGACAGACACGTGGTGCTGCTGACGACGGCCTGGCCCTGCACGGTCCTCTACGGATGCCCACTGCCAAGTGGCACCCAGACCTATTCGTTCTGAATCCAGCTCCGAGACTCGCTGCTCCCCCTCCCGGGGCTGCTCTCGGGCCGTGTTCCCAGAATCCCCCGTCGTTTTCATCCCTTGTGCTCCAGGCAAGTCCATCACCTCTTAGTAGACAGGGGCCCGGAGGTGGGGACACCAGACAACCAGGGGCATGGCCCATCCTCTTTCTACCGGAGCAGAGGTTCCTCTAAGTTCAGGGCATGGAAGTCAAGGTCGTCGCAGGGCTAAGGGGCAGAGACAGCACCGACGGCCAACCCGCATCACAGACGCTGCAGCCACAAGCCAGAGTGAGGGACAGCAGGCCGGGGGCGGGGGCACGGAGGCAGCTCACGAAAACCCCAAGAACGAGGAGACAGGAGGGAAGCAGACCTTCCCAACCCAGGCGCCAGAGGGGCGTCTCATTTCTACAGCTGCTCCTGGCGTCCTACAGGGAAGTCCCCACTGACGGGGCGGTCACCAGGCCTTGCTCAGTGCTGGCAGCAGCGTGGTGCGGACACGCTGGGGCTCCCGGCTGCCTCGCAGCACCGGTCCGGCCCTTGGGCCCTGGTGGCCGCCCTGGGGGCCCCTCGCTCCCGGCTCCTCACTGAACAAACTTCGTCTCTTCCCTCGCTCTCCCGGGTCCGCGGGATTCCATCCCCGAGACAAGAACCTCACTCTCCCGCTTCACTAGCAGTGAGCAGGGCATGCGCCCCCCGGGCCTGGCACACGCTGCACAAGGACGCACAGAGAGCCCTGGATGAAGGGTCCGGCTTCAAGAAAATCAGAGAATTAAAAGCAATGCTTATTTTCAGAAAAGTCTGACATTTAGTATGTCGTAGAAAATCACAGAAGTCAAAGGGTGATCTCGCTTTTCACAAGGACTACAGCCACGTGAGGAACGGCACAGCACAAGAAGGATGAACAGACCTCGCCTTCTCCACTTACAAGATGTAGGTGATTATTCCCACGGACCACATGTCCACCTCAGGTCCATAGGCACAGCCTCTAAGGATTTCAGGTGCTGCGGAAAGAATGAACATCATGTTAAGTCAGACACTAAATTTAACAATTACGTCTCAGTAACAAGCAACATGTAAAAAAATAACAGTAAGTTCGGAACAGCTGTGGAACAAATTTTGTCCCCCCAAACCCAAGGATGAGACTACAAACTCTTACGCCTGTTTTCGTGGGGGAAACTAGTGTGTCTGTGTTGGAGGTGCAGAGCGGTACAGCTAGCGGCTTGCACGGTCCCCAAGGGAACATCGGTCATCAGATGGAGCCGTGTGTGTTGCAAGGGTCCGGCCTTCCTCCCGGGGGGCCTCGGATGCAGGCAGGCAGAGCTGGTCAGCACAGTAGGCGACCACGCCTGAGACCTATCCTGACACCCGGGTCTGCCGGGGGGGCGGGGGGACAAGAAGCAGGGGCCCAGGGGGCACGTGTCAGCCAGCAGGCGGACGCTGTTGCCAGTCAGCGTGGGACATGAACTGAGAAAAGGGACAGGTGTTCCCGGGGCACAGCCGGCCTGCTCCCGTTCGCCTGGCGGCCCTCCCGGCCACGCGAGGGGCCTGTCCTGTGGCACGAGGCGGTCTCCTCCGGGTCTTATGCTGGAGCTGCGGACATGGACGGCACCTGGCTCCGACAACCGGAGGGGTTACTTGTTTAACTAACAAGGAAGAAAGAGGGAAGGAGCGAGAGCTTCATGATCCACGCACAAACAAGGCTCAGCCCTAGAGCCCGAGTGGCCTTTTTCTACTTCGCACAAAGGTGCTGGAGCTGTCCTGGGTCCCCGAGGAAGGAGCTGACCGGTGAGCGCCCCTGGGATGGGCCCGTAGCCCCCTCCCAGCTGGATGCCCCGCTGTGGGCTGGAAGGTCACACTCAGTGCAGGCTGTCAGCAAGCTCTGGAGGGAAGCCACCAGCCACCTCCTGCGGCTTCGGGTCGGACTCAGAGGAAGGCACACAATGGATTTTCTACCAACGTCTTCCCGTACAAGCCCCCCTCTCCTTGTCCTTATGCAATCAGGATACTCTGTTCCCTGCAGAAATTGTGTGACATAAAATACACGAGCCGCAGAGTCCACACGACTCTTGGTGCGTGCAACCAATGAGTCCAGTGAGAGCGTGCAACGCAACGCTCCGAGCAGCACTGCTGCAAGATGCAGCCTCTAAAGACTGTTATCTGGGGCCAAGAAGTTCTTCTCATCTCCAGGCACATTATTCCTAGAAATTTTTCCTCTTAGGATTTAATTAACATAATTAAGAGAAATGCAAGCTCACTGCCAACACCATTCACTCTTGGCAAGTGAGACTTCCTTCTCCAGGGCAATCCGTAGCCCGACTCGGGTCCTTCAGGCCCCACCACCAACTCCCACTTGCCAAGGCTTTGCTCCTCACAGCTCAGAGGGAACCCGGAGGGCGGCTGCCAGGTCAGGGCACGCACAGTCAGTGCGATGGGCCTTCCCCACTCAGCGAAGTGCTGGCAAGTCCCATGCTGACGTTTAAACATACAGAAATAGTCGGCGAGAGTCTTCGCATTTTCTGGGACTTGTTCTTACTTCTAAAATCTAAGAGGATTAGATTAGCTACTTCCAAGTTTACTTTGAGCCGGAAGCTGTTAGCCGCTGTGGTACCAGTGAGGGACCGTCAGGGCACTCGGCGTCCACAGCCCGCCGCACGCCCACTGCTCCTGGAGGGCCCACCACACGGGCTGCCCATGGGCCCTGTCCTGCTGGCCCTGGCTCTCCAGGGCTTATTAGGACCCCGCGCAGAGGCAGGTGCTCTTTCTGGATTCGCTATGGCTCCCAGGCTGAGGCCCGAAATGAAGTGAACGCCACGGAACAAAATTCTTTCTGAATCCACTCTATGGGGCACCTGGGATTCCCACCTGATGTGGCCATATCTGACCTCCCTCCACAGCACGGGGTGCCACCTTTACCCCCGGGGGCAATTCAGTTCCTTGTAAGGCATTACTGGGTTCCAACACAGGCGGAGTTGTATTGTGAAGAGCTCAACTTTCCCTGGGGACGTAAGCTGAGAGAAAAGGAGTATGGAATGTTCTTGCCCTCCACAATAAGTTTCTCTTAAGAGGAATTTATAATATTTACTAATCATAATACAAAATTTAGGTGGAACAAACTAACCATCTAGATCCAATCAGATCCCACTCACAGAAACCTTTAAATCCTTGCTAGTGGACACGACCTTGACTTGAGGACCAACCAGCAGGACATCCTCTGTAATGTATGCGGAGCCTTTCCAAGAGCCCAAAATTTCTAGGATAAATTTCAGGCTCCAGCATAGCAGCACTACAAGTCTCCTAGGTATCAAACATCCTTGCAGTGGATTCCAATCTGTGATTTTCTTAAGATGAGAAATAGTTGATTACTCCCAACTTCATTCGAGAAAAGACATCGGCTAGTGTACATTTAATGCTGTGAGCACTCCCGCCCGTCTTCCCCACCTGTTCTCACTTCATTGCCAGAACAAACGGACAAACAAACTGAAGCAGGGGAGAAAACCATTTCAAGGTGTGATCCAGTTTTAAACAGGTATTTAAAATAATTTAGAATCATCTTTTCTAAAATAGTCAAGAATCCCTTATTGATTTTTCTGGCTGTCTCCTAAGGAGGTCCGCTTTGTGCCACTTCCTGAACATACCTTCTCCTGCCTGTTGCTCATTACCACTAACTGTACAGAGCCCCCAGCACGCTTCATACTCCAATCTCCAACAGAATAATCTTGCTAAATGGTCTTAGAATTACCAAAATATGCTTCGCTTTTTAAAAAGCAATTTTAAATGAATATAAAATTTATATTAAAAATCCAAACTTCAGTGATATTTATTGAGCAACATCTCACTTAGATGGATCACAGGGTGCTTTTTCATAAGATCATGGTACCACTGAAACATTTAGAGACTGAGGATCCATCTATAGACTTGAACGAATTTCACTTTATTAAATAAATTCACCGTAACCAGGTCTAGAAATGGTCCCACGTAAAGAGCACGAGGTGCGGGGAGGCGGCATGCTGCTAGGGACCACGGATCCCAGGCTTGCCCTCCTCTCAGAGCCCCAGGAGGAAGGCGGAGGGATGGCTCTGGCCCCTGACTGTACCCGCCTACCTACTGGGCTAAAACGAGAGGGCACTCCTCCTCCTCCTTCTCCTCCTCAGACTTCTTCCAAGCCGCTGTGAGCTGTATGCAAAGGATACCTGCAAGGGAGCCTGAAGTGAAGGAGCCCATGGTTCCCTCATTCCCCACTAAGCACACCAGGAACCTAGTATTCCGTGTGTGGTGCTTGCACAGCATGGGCATCGGGGAGCTGCCAAGGACAAGTCTCCGGTATCGTGGAGCACACGGTCTGGGGGGTGACTGACCCAGAGAACTGTGTGCGGGGGTGCGGGCGGAGTGCTGGCAGGGACGGTGCCTCTACTACAGGCCTGCCTGGCCTGCGCAGGACCAGGGAGGGGGAGGAAAGCGAAACTGCAAGGGTGACGTGAAGGACCAGAGGAGTCAACGGGGGGGGGGGGGGGGGGGGGGAGCTCAGCGGATGAGGAAGGAAAGGGAAACTAGCTTCCTGGAGTCGGCACAGGTGGGGTGGGCAGGGTGCTCCGCGACTGGGAGGCAGCACAGGTGCAGGGTGGGGGCGAGTGGGGCCGGGTGCTCTGGGGACAGGGAGGCAGCCCAGGTACAGGGTGGGGGCGGCCTGTTGGAAGCACGCATGCTGCCCCCTGTCCCTGGCGTGCAGTAGCCCAACTGAGTGTTGGGGAGCCGCCTCTGCACCCCGCGATGAGCCACAGCAGGAGCTGGGGAGCGCCTCATCCTCCTGCCACCCTCGGAGCACGGACACTGGTGCACCGCCGAGCCAGGCTTCTGCAGGCGGCCAGCAGCCTCCCCGGGGCCGCGGACCCAAACCGACGCAGTCGTGCCCCCCCCACCCCAGGAACACTCCGCTCAGCCCACGGCCCCAGCCGCCCTTCCGTGCCCCCTCCACCCTGTCTCCGCCTTGGGGTCCTGGTGTGCCTCTCCATCTCGGCCCCGGGGTCCGGGTGAGCCGCTCGGGCTCCGCCCTAGTCATGGTGCCCTAGCGCCCCAGGACTGACCTAACACCCAGATGGTGGCGGAGCCCATGCTTCTGTCAACAGCCACGTCCCTGCCCCTGAATGTCAAACACACACCATCCTGCCCACGGGTCGCCTCCACCTGAAGAGCTAAGAGGCACCGCAACGTCCCCAGGCCCTAGCCCTTGTGCTCCCACAGTCCTTCCCACGTGAACGCTATCCTTCCGGTCAGGGCTCTTGCATCCTCCGTCCTACCTGTTCCCCCCATTGTCACCACTCTCCACCCAACGGCCTCCCTCCTGCCCGAGCGCCACTGTCCCCTCCATCCAGAATGTTCCCTCCCCAGCATCTGTGTACCTCTCCCAAGTCTGTTCTTCTGCTCCCCTTCCCAGTGGGCCTGTGTTGGCAGCCCAGGCCCCCAGCACCCCCATCCTCCTTCCCAAGGCATCACCTCTCTGTGTATTGACACCCTCATTTTATTATTTGGCCCCTCCACTCCCACGTGGCATCCTTAAAGGAGAGCCTCTCACCGTGTCATCACTGCACCCCCAGCACCTAGAACAGTGCCTGCTGCACAGCAGGGGCTCAGTGGGCACTTATTACATGAAGAGAGGCCCGAGCAGGCACGTGACTGGAGCTCCACAGGATCCACTGTGCTCAGGGCAGCGCCAAACCAATCCGTGCACCCCAGGAGGCCCGTCTTCCTCTGGACTGAAGACTTCTGGGACAGCTGACAACAACCTGCAGAGCGGCAGAGGCCCGGTCCGGGGGAGACCACAAGACAAGCTCTGGCCTGCCTTGGTGCTCCCACCCCTGGCCCCGGGGCCAGTCTCGGAAGTCCAACGGTGGCTGGACCCACAGCCTATTCGAGGGAGGAAGAAGGGCCGTGGGTGCCAAAGGGAGATGGGCCCGGGCACGCTTCCCCCGCCCACCCGGCCTCCGCTGCCTGCTTCCCCTCTGTC